TAATCTATTTGATTCTCGGCGACAAATGAAATAGCCACGGAGAGCTTTAGTGAAGATATACTTTATTTTAACTTATTAAATTCACTAGTTTTCGTTTTTAGTTGAGATAAAAAAGTCAGTGTCACAAGCGGGATTCGAACCCACGACCTTCGGCTAGATACGCCGCTGCCCTACCACTTGAGCTATAGTGACTTCGATCCACTCAACTAAAAACCTTAATTAATTGAAAGAAATTAATTGGTCAAGCGGACCACGAAAACTAGTAAATTGTGAAACTAATGAAATTGTCGGACAATGGTATGTCTAACAGAAGAATCAAATTCACATTTTCCTCTCAAATAAGATTATCGTTCAAGAAAGAAGGTGGAAAAAGTGCCCGATTATGTGTGGATTTGAAAATATCAAACAGAATTGTGGTACCTGAACCACAACCCTTCCCCAAAATAGAATAATAAAATAGATATAGTAAGTTTTGTAATTAGCAAGTGTTTAGTAGTTTTGTAAACGTTGGTATTTGTAGTTGGTCTACAGCATTATATATTAATTCAGTTTTTTGGTCCATTACAATTTGATCAAATTCCATGAGAAAACTGCATGCAAAGTCAAGGAAATGTACTTCCATTTGGGTTTAAAACTTCTCCAGCTATATTTCAAAGAATTTTAGCAAATATAATTCGAAAATATAAATTAGATATATATTGCGTGTCCATTATATAGATGATATATTTGATCTCTTCAAAATTCAAGATGAGCATTTACAACATTATATTATTTTTCGAAGCAGATAAGAAAGAAGGATTTAATTGAAATTAACGAAATGTGGTTTTGTTATGCATTCTGTAAAGTATGGATAAAGTATGGACATGCGATAGAAAATGGTAAAGTTTATCCCGTCAAACATAAGCTTAGTGTAATCCAAAAATTCAAACGTCCAACTTGATTAATTTTTACCACTACCAATTTATTGACCGAGGGCAGATGCTCGACACAGGAGAAACAGCACTACATTTTCCAGGGCCCCCAACTCATCAAAAAAAAGGTGATGGTTTCTCTTTGGTGGGCTTCATTTGGGCTGATTTACTACAGTTTCTTGCATCCTGGGAAAACAATCAATGCCGAAATGTATCGCTCTAAATTTTAAACAATACACAAAAAATTGGCAAAATTGAAGCCATTTTTGGTCAATCGGAAAAGCCCGATTTTTGCACGATGTCTCACATGTGACAGCACGAAAACTGTTGGTTTTGTTATGAGGTTCTGCCTCACCCTCCGTATTCTCCAGACCTTTCGCCTACCGACCACCATTTTTCAGACACCTGGATAACGTTTTACAGCATAAAAAAATTACTAATCGAAAGTCGTTAGAAAATGCGTTTACAGAATTTGTTCATAATAAAGAATCAAAATTCTATTCAGAGGGTATAGAGAACCAACCGATGGCAACCGATCAGCAAAGAAATATATGCATTTGCTAGTAGATCATTTTAGTCGTTATGCATGGATTTTAACCTCGAGGACACAAACACATCAAATTAATCGATCCTATCGCAGGGGAGCAAGAAATAAAAATACTGTTAGTTGATAAAGTGCATTAAAATCAGCAAAATTTTAAAAATATTTAAAGGAGATGAACATTCAGTTGGTTTTTCATCAGTAAACAGCCCTCAATCAAATTGAATGAAGGATTAAATCAAACTCTGGTGAACAGAATTCGTTGTAAAAGAAATAATAACCAAAATGATATTTTTACACCATGGACGAGAATAGTCGATTTATGTGTCAAGAAATATTATGACACGGTGCACAGCATACGAAAAAGTTTGGTTTACTTACCTACTGGTGGAAAAACATCTGAAATTGTACCAACTTCATTACAGAAAGAATATGACCTACTGGCAGATAGAGTAGAGGCGTTCAAGAACATAGAAAAAAGTTTTGTAAAAAACAAAACAAGAAAACGATTAAACTTGATTTAAAAACATTAAAGAATAAGACTTTCAAGACGGGGATCTTGTGTATATATCAAATGGTAATAAATTAAATAGGAATAAATTAGAAGTGGACCCTTTGTTATAAGTAAAAGAATTTTAAAATCAATGTATGAAGTCAAAACTAATGGGAGGCGTAATGAAGCAAATTGGTTCCATAGTACAAAGTTAGTTCCTTTCTCTTTTTTTACCTGAAAAAAGAGTCGTCTACTAATGGAAGTGTAATTTGTAAGGCTCACATGGCCTTAATTGATGAATTAATATTCATTTGTTTTGGAATGTGGTGGGTCTTAGTGAATGTAAGAAGACAGAAACAATGTACTAACTCTAAAATATTCACAGTCATTCAATTCTATTGTTTTAGGTATGGATTTATTTTAACGTTTCTTTTGGATTTGTTGAATTGTATACAATTCTGTGATTAATAAAAAACTATTGTTTTAGCAATCGACTAAAGTCATTTTTACTACTCAGTTACAAATGCTTTAAGCTATTAATAAGTAGTGGATAGTTTATACTGTTAGCAGTTGATTTATTACGAAGGTAGTCCTGGTTAAAAATCGAAACAACCCTTTTTTAATTTTAATGGATTGTTTTTTGTTTTTATACCAAGATGCTTTTAGGTCACCGACAATATCAGGTGTTAGCGTTACTCTGGATTACAAGGACGCCAATAATTAAATAATCTCGTACTGACCGGAACAGATGGTAATCTGCCGAGAGTATATTTGGTGAATATAGTGGGTAAGGTTCAGTAAGTGTGACAATTTCCGCTGTTTCACCAACGAGGCGTTGTAATTACGAATTTGCGACCCAATTTCTAATCTTCGTCAGGCCTTGATAGCCGCATTTGTTCAAGTTTATCAGTATTTAATGGAAGTGACCGCTTTCATCGCTGGAAATGGTTCTTAGGTGAGAATTCCCCTCCAGTCCTTCCAGATGGATGGAACAATCTTATTTATATAAAGTCTGCCCTCGATATTTCTGTTTAAAATGGCCATGATTTTTGTTAAATTGTATGTTTATACCAAATATACGCCTAGCCAACATCAACTACTAAGAAATTTGTTAGTTTAATATCAATGTAAAAATCAGTGTAAAAGTTCCGCCTACATTTGACAACCACCCATGGCAAATTCTCCCACTAACAGCATTTTCCCCCAAATGCATCTCGTTTTTCTCTACGGTTTAAAAATGAATTATTTATAGCAAAAATAAAACAGCCTGAATCAGCAAATGTTTTTCCATATTCTAAAATTTTACCAATATCAAGTGTATAACTATCATTTATAAAAATTATTTAGGTGGATTATACTATAACTTCATTAACCAAGAGATTCTTTCGGTTACCTTATTCTAGTCATTTTTGGTTCTTAGTGATATTGAATTAATATATCTAAAGTAAAGGATCACCATTGTTCCCACATTATGCAAGATTAACCATTCTCCTTGACTTCTGCGAAAACTGTAAGTATGTAAGTACATACAATGTGTAGTGTTCAGTGACCGTTAATTAATTAGATTATTTTGAGATAGTGAGATGCTGTCTGTTGTGACGTAGGTTTAGAAAAACATTTTCTTTATCGTGCTAACGTTTCGATCTTTAATGAGATCATCTTCAGGGCCTAGGATTTATAGACATTGTTTAAATTATACAAATATACGTAAGATGTGAAAAAATGAATCTATACAATGAGAGAAATTTTAGACCCAATCAACGTATTTGTACTCACTCAAAGAGTTTGTTTTCTATGTAGTTGACACAATGTAATGACACATCTACACTGAAAACAAACACTTTGAGTGAGTGCAAATACTTTTTGTATAATTGAAACGATGTTTATAAATCCCAGGCCCTGAAGATGATTTCAATAGAGATCGAAACGTTGGCACGATAAAGAAAATATTTTTCTTAACCTACATCACACCAGACCGCACCTAACGATCTCCAAATAATCAGTGGATAAATTACTTTACTTATACTTGATATTGTATTGTTTTGGTTTGATCAATTCGCACAATCGTTGAAATTATTTGACTTGTAACGGCCAGAGCTTGTCGTGAGATCTACACGGCATGACGATCTAAACTGCAACGGTTAAGAAAACTTCGAACACTATTTTAATATAATAAACAACTTAATTGGTAGTGTAGTAAAATGTGTTTAATATCTAGCTGGCATGTGAATCTAGACTGCAACGGTTAAGAAAACTTGGAACGCTATTTTAGTGTAATAAACAACTTAATTAGTAGTGGAGTAAAATGTGTTTAATATCTAGCTGGCATGTGAATCTAGACGGTACCGGTTAAGAAAACGTGGAAAGTTATAACCTGTGAGTTAGTACCAAGTAAATTGATGTATAATTGTATTGTGTATTAATTAACATTGTATATTAAAGTGAAATATTGGTGGCCAAAAACAAGGTGCTTTTAAAGTTCCTCCATCATCGCCATCAGTGGCTTACCTCAATTCGACGGCTATGTATACATGTGTCATATGTATGCAATATATTCCTAGACTTATTTATTTAGTTTTTTATTACTTTTTTTGTGTTTTTCTGTGTAGGTTGTAAGCACAAAGGAAGTTACAGAAATACCATAGAAGATATTTAACTAGGAAAAGTCGTTCAAATATCATTTAAAAAAAACTAATAACGGCAAAGTTTAGCATTCACTGAAACAACTATTCGAATAGGAACCACTATGGGAAAACAGGATATAATCATGGCTACTCCGCGTTACAAGGTTGAAATGAACATATTTCATCCGAGGGTCCGTTAGAATCGAACACGCGTTAAAGCTTAATTTACATTTTACAATCGAATCACGTACCGGCCGAATTTTCCTAGGAGATATTTAAAATTGCGTTAAGATCCAAAGCAGCTGTTGCCGCCACCCTCTAGCCAATTATTGGACGGTGGATAGATCGCAATATCAAGGACATCAACTCTATAAGTTATTTTTAGTAAATTTGTATGTAACTGATTTATTAAATAAAAATGTACAGATAATCATTTGTTAAATTTAAACATTAAAATAATTTACAATAATCCATATTATTATTTCATTGTCATTCATGTTAATTGTGCAGAATTAGGTAAACCAATTCCTACGGTAAAATTTAATCATTTATCTTGCGTATTTTAGGAAGGACAAATTATAATGCGATTATTCAAATATCTTTCTACATACTGATTTTTATTTTACACATATATCACAAAATCTACCAACCTATTCGTTGGATAATTGAATCTTACATTGTTAACTAATGATATGACATAAATTAAAATAAGATATGAAATGATTTGAGAAAAGACAAGAAACTACTAATAATTTTGTTAAGAGTTTCAATACTGGGAACAGCGAACATCACGGTGAGCTATAAGGTCGTCCTTCAGTGTTCGATGATGCTGAATCACTCTAAATTGTACGTCAGGATGAATTTACAGCAGGGTTATCTGACGTTATTAAGAATGCTAGTGCATCCATCTGGTGATGAGAAATGTTCCAAAACGTGAAGAAGAATTATCACCAAACTATGGAATACTCTTATTATTGACAAAACCATATCGTCCGTATGTGTTTTTCCCCTAGGACAAGTGGCTCAGTCACAAGCCAAAAGAAAGCTCATGATTTTTCACCCTGGCTGTTATGTGTCAAATCTTGTAGAAGCTCATCAACTTTAAGGATATCGTGGGCTTTTGACTACAGCAGAATTCACATAAATCAAAGTAGTGATTTGGTTCATCGTGCTTATATCCCCTTATGCCACCTGACTATGTTCGACAGGACATTTTCATAACTACCTGTGAAACTGTAATGCGAGATTTCTCGTTAATGGAACGGTTTATGAAACACAAGCAGCGTTATAAACATGCCCAATGGATCACAGTCATTTACGCTGATAATAAGCATATATTGGATTCATATCACAAGTGAAGTGCCTAAGGCACAGAACATCATATCGTTGTTAATATCACAAAAATTCAGGACTTCGCCGTTTAAATATTTTTGAAATTACAGTAGAAAATTTTCATCTATCAGCGCTTTTTTCGCGAAATTCTTTCTGCTGCAATACTTGCGAATCCTGGCAATCGCCTAAAACAGAAAACAATTTTCGGTAATTCATTTAATACACATTGACTGTTGACAATTTTAAATATCTAATGGTTTAATTTATTAAAAAACCGACCTCGTCACACAGACCAGTCAGAATGGCTGCCAATAAATAGTTTTGAGCTATAATTTCAACAAAGCAGAAAAAAATTAGGTTGAATGTGAAAAGAGATAATTCGTTTCCATAATACAATACGTTGTCGAAGGAATGGCCATTATCTGAAAACAGAATTTTAAAATTATTACCACCCTTAGTCGACATGTATGTGTAAATTTCAGTATTGAATATTAAACAATTACCATTAAAAAATATTCCTTTGACCTTTGAATCGTGAAGTTCGATGTCTAATAAGGCTTCGATAAAAAGCCTATCTCTCACTTCATAATCTAAGTCCTTTAATGCCTAAACAACGAAAATTAACAGTGATGTGAAAAAACTGCATAATAAATCTAAATCTTAACCCTTAACTGGGCAATGAAAAAAAGATTTTTTTGGTCTTCATTATTAGATGTCTATGCCCCAGAAAAGTATTTAAAATATTGCTGGAGTGATTTAGTTAGATTATAGTTTTATTCTTTTGAGTCGAATGTGGGGTTCCAAGTAAGTCTTCTGTCCATGTAACGTCGCAGATTGGTGACGACAAAGGTTGCTCGTGATAAACAGTGTTTACATTCGAGGAAAAATGAAGGTTATTCGCTGAGATTTGGTTTCATACAGTCTGAACTCAACAATTACACAGTGCCAGCATTGCACCTGGAAGACACGTGTTATAGCCAACGCTGGTACTCAACTTGTTGTCCGATAAGGGGGAGGTTGTGTCATTCGTAGTGGATAGTGAGCTAGTGACGAAGTGAGGAGCTTTGACGACTTGTCTGAGGACTTTTGGTTGGAAAGATTGAATGCACTGGATGCTGGTTGCTGGATGGCTTGGAAGAACCCCACAATCCCACTCAGTATGTCCAAGGTGGACGCAGTAAAGTTTGAATAAGGTTAGTTTTGTTGTCTTTTTTGTTTACTTCTCTCTGAAGTGTTGTGTGAAAATTTCACGGCATATTGTGATGGGAAAGTTCTGGCAGGGCTTGTGCTGTAGGGTTAGGATGATTGTTTAGTGAGGAACTTTTGTAAGCAAGAACGGGTCAATTTTTTTACCAAAGGTAATATTTAGGTCGTAGTGGATAGTAACAACGTAGTAAGGAGCTTTGAAAATTTGTCAGAGCTCTTTGGTTGAAAATATTGGATAGCTTGATGTAACCTAACAGTTCAACTCCGTATGACCAAAATTGTCGCACTGATGTCATGTACAGAATTAGTTGAATTTTGACGTTCAACTAAGTCTTCGTAGTTGTCCAAGTCTTGTTATGTTGTTGTCTCTTAATTCATATGTTCATTTAATTAATTCGACGTCAGTCTGCTGTCTAGGTATAGCATCTAAGAATCTGACTAAGGAGCTTGGAGAATTCTTCTGAACACTTGAAATACATGGATTAGTTGGCTATTAGATAGCATGGTGGTACCCCACAGCTCCACTCCAAATGTCCAAATAAGGTCATTTTTCTTGAGGATGGATAGGATTGTAGTTGGGAGATAAAATTATGCTAAATATGAACAATTAACCATTCTACGAATTCAAAAAATAAATAAATACAAGTAAAATAGTAGTTAAAATAGAAAAATGTAATAGTAGTTACGTGTTCAATGAAGGCTGCGAGAAATCTGTTGACAGTCACGTACGCTTGCATTGTATGATCACCTGATCCAGAAACAGATTTATTTCCCTTCTTTAAATTAGTTATATTGAATCGACTCAATTCCTGAAATATTCAAGGTATAATTTAATTTTTTGTGTGAGTGTTGTTTGTTAGTTTCCGGTCTTTGGTCTGCTTATCAGACGCGTTTCATCCATAACAGCGAAGATTTAAAGAAAAAGCAGGCCAAATTGATCGGAAACAATCAGACTATCATCCCCTACAGACCTCAATAGAAAACCGAACAGTTTTTCCTAACAAAATTTTTAATAGTAATAGGTAAATCCTGTATAAGTTTATATTGTGATCTCTCTTAGGTACATTATTGTTCAATATAATGAGCTTACATGAGGAAGGTTAGTAAGGAGAGATTTGTAGATTCCTCGTAACTTGGTTGGAATTAAAATTTGGAAAGTTTGGTGGTCTGACTCAGGTACCAATCCTCGATGTCGAACTAAATCCTCTTCTTCTCTTCTCAGTTGTTTACGTAATGTGGCCATGTCAGTATCAGAAAATCCGTGCGCAGACCTTAAAAAAATGTACATAATGCAGTATATTGGGAGAAAGAAAGCTCGACACTGTTTTTAAGTGAAAAATAAATTATTGATCAGCTTTTCTATTTGGTTTTTGCAGTATCTGATTTAATTAATTATTTTATACAATATCTAACGTTTTTCTGAACCGATTTTCAAATGGTTTTCGCAATTTTTCATGCACTCGAATGGACTTGATCAATCTGCAAATGAAAATGTAAATGATAATATTTATAAACAAACACGATTTTATAGACAAGTAAAATCATCTAATAACTTTTCTAAAAATTTTTTTAAAACTGTAATTATGGCAATGTTTAAAAGTAGAACTTATGCTAAATAAAACTGTTTAATTTTTGGATTCTATGGTAAGTAGTTTTGAAAAAACCAAGGGTTATATTAGTAAGTTACCCTGTTTATGTTACTATCAATGTTACTGTAAGTAAAGTAATTTATAAATGAGAAAGGTAATATAATTTGATTACCTGCCGTGAACGTAAAACCCGTAGTTCTCAAGGGCTAATACAAATAGACTTATATTCGCCAATGAACATATATCAACAAATTCCTGAATAGAGTTTTTAATGTATCTCTCGTATATGCCACTAAATAAAATCCACTGTAATCATAAATACATTTTTAACACATTTCGATCGCTTGTAATAATTTTTGGAAAAATCTTCACCTGAATCAGATAAACACCGACGTAAACAACAACAGAGAGAGCAAACCTGAATACCCTATCTTCAGAAGCATGCTTAGCTTCGTGATTCGGCGATGTATGAAGTTCGGGAATGTTAAGAGACCAATGTTCTAAACCACACACCTTAAAAATAAACAAAACATATATCTACATGTAAATATTAAAACGATGTTCCAAACAGAGGTGGACTCAAAATTCGAAATATTTATAAAACTGTTGATCGATGGTTGAACCATGTGAAGAATGGTACAATTTTTTTCTTACCAAAAACGACATTAGAAGCAGGAAACAATCCGTTAACAATGTCGACACTTCTTTTTAAATTTCAGTCATACATTTAATAAATTGGGCGCTGAAATGGCCTAGTTGTCCATAGCCATGGAGGTGGATTTTCGTTGGGAGGACGGGTAAGATCGAGGTCTAACCCTGGCCCAAAAATCCAACCTAGGTGATTCTCACAGCTGGTGAAAAATTGGATTCCGTTAAGTTTTAAAATCTTCTTGGATTACATATTTAATAACATGCTTCACATTACAAGGATGAGAGTAGTCATAAAAGTCAAAGAAAACAATAATTGTTGTTAAGAGGAATTTTAAATATAATAATTATTGCCCTGACTTTTCTGGTCACACTAGATTAAAATTGTATTGAGTTATCGAAAGTAAGAATTATTCTTCGCCCTTTTTACCCACTTTGCACATTTTAAAATATATATTAATTATAATATCAAATATAATATAATAATTTGGCTGTCTTATGGAGTTCCTTAGTGTTTGAGTTTATTTGCGTATTTATTTTAATCGATTTATGTGTTACTGTTGTCTGCTATTATTAGTTTGGTAATGTAATTGATTTCGTTTTTGTGTTTTTTGAGTATTTTTTCGGGCGACTTGGTGCTAGGTCCATTGTCAGCTAACCACGTTTTGTCTAACGTTGAAAATAACCTTTATTTTCAACGTTTAGCCCTTCCACGTATAAATAAAATGTCCTAAGTCTAAAATACACATTCATACTAATTAAATGAAAACCTAATCTACGTTTGGCGGGGCTCAAGAGTTCTCGAGATACTAGCAGACCCTTACAACTTCGTTAAAATACGGTTGGCAGGCGACAGCAAGGCGTATTTACCTTGACTTCCTCCCTTCATTTCGCGCCAGTAAATACATTCAGAGTAAAAAATCTCATATTATCCTAGTTAATCTAATTGATTTGACAGGTATGTGAGTACTCGACATATCCACAACAAATCCAACACCAACCATGTCCATAATATTAACCACTCACGCAAATAATTACATTCACAGAATCGGATATTCTACAGGGTTTTGATAATACGTCAGTGACTTCATCCCAATTACACTGCAACTGTATAAAAAATAAATAAGAAACGTACACTACTTGGTGAGCATATTACATTCATAGAATCAGGTAGTCTCCAGAGTTATATTCTGCCAGTGCGTACATCCCTATTACACTGCAAATTTATTAAAAGTAAATCACCTAGACTATTTTGGCCTGCATGTGAGTATTTGATATTTCATTACGAACATACGCAAACGTTCACACAAATAAATACATTCGTGCAAGGCAAGAATATTATTTTAACCAACGTGTGAAAGGTTTGCTTATTATCACGACTGTGCATTAAAAGTTTTTTTAAAGAACGCAAGCCACACTTTATGCTACGTAGTATTTCTTGTAAATTTTAGAGTGGATTTTCAGTGAAATTGTGTAATATATTTTTCTCTTGTGCAAGTAGTTTGGCAAGAATTATACTGCGTTATAATATAACACCAAGTTTGCGTTTTTTCAGGCAAAATTCTACGGTTAAATTATTTAAAATTCATGATCGTATGTCGTTTGTTGAGTGCATCTTTAATTTATTGAAGGGATTTGAGTGTGAAGTTTCTATTTGTGTCGATCGTACTTGTTGTTGAAGCAACCCAGTAGGGAACTCCCAAATGGGTTCAAAGAACACATCATTTAGATTTAATGAGTTTGCCGCCGTTACATGGATGGTTCTAATTACACGACATCTATCACAGAATTATCATGGATCCGTCCCAAAAGCGTATTTGATAATATTCAATGTCGTTCAAAACTGGCGATACATACGCGGAAGAGGTAGAACGCTGAAAAATGGCAAATTTACGAATTATCCAATATCTACCCACAAATTAATAGTTCAAATGTTAAATTCACAACTAAAACATAATAAGTAAGAATTATCACTCTGACTAGACCATGAGCAAGAATAGGCGGTTCAAATGCGAGTTAAATTAAGGCAATGCCGAGCGTAAAAATATCATAAGTGGCTGGACTAATAACGGAGGTCAGACTTAACAACAGTACCACAAAACAATGAGAGGTACTACAAATCAATTATAAATCTTTACCAACGACAATAAAAATATAATCCAAATTTCAAATTCTGTTAATTAATAGTAAGTATATATACTTACTTAATCAATAGTGCTACCACTGTATAATCACAATCAAGCAGCAACCGGCTTCCACTGACGTTAGGTAGTTTGAACTATGACTAGACAGCAGTCTGATGTGCAATTCCCACCAATATTAGAACCGTGTTTTTACCGACAAAACTCAACTAACTTGATAAAAGACATTACTGCAACATACGAATTGGAACTGTGAGGCTCTCCCAAGTTATCCAACATGCAGCGCATCCAATCCTTTGAATCAAAAGTTCTCGGTCAAATGGACAACGAACTGACCAAAAGGTTCTACACTAAGCTCTCGATCCATACTCATCTACTAAGCCCTCGATCCATTCTGTCCCAGTAATCTATAATTCATCCTGACCAACTGCTCTCTCAATCCATACTGACACACCAAGCTATCGATCTAACCTGCCCTACTACGTTTCCATTCATACTGTCCACTAAGCTCTCATCCATTTTGTCACACTTAGCTCTCGTCGATTCATCCTAGCCAACTCAGCTCTCAATCCATACTAACCCGTCAAGTTCTTGATTCATCCAGACACACTAAGCTCCCGAGCACTCCTGACCCACTAAGTTCTCGATCCATCTCTGGATAAGTGAAAATATAAATGTAATGGGGGGGGGGGCGGTAGCCGAGTGGTTAAGGCGTCAGACTCTCGGGTAGTAGATCCCGCGGTCGTGGGTTCGATCCCCACCGTCGCCTCTGGACTTTTTCTGATTCCTAAGGGGACCGGTTGCCGCAATTGAAAGAAATTGACACGGCACTCATCAATGGAAGGGGCAGGATCGGATCTCAGCGACCCTGAATTTGAAAAAACAAGTTAAAATATGAAGGGGCGATGTCAGGCGAATACACCCCTGGTAGTGCATCCCAGCCAAGCTCTAACAATTTCTGCCTTGAAGCTGTGACGCTAACAATTTCTGCCTTGAAGGTGTGACGCTGCGTTTAACCAATGAGATTCGTCTCTGAACATTGTTGTAATGGAATCAATTTTCATCCGCAGTTAACATTTTTAACAGGGTCGTTTGCATTGCGTTTTAGGAGGGATTGAAAGAGGGAGAAGCCATCCAATAAATTTTTCTCAGTCAACACATGAGAAACCTATACATTCCTCCTTGTCCATCCAGCTTGTATGAGATATGTTAAGTGCATCGTGTCGTCGTTCAGCGTGGGTTATTTGTAGCAAAAGTTTGAAATTGCCGTAGGTGCCAATTGCTCAGGTTTAAATTCAGATTAAAACTCTAGTTGAAATGACAAAAACTGGATTGTTTCATGTTTAAACACAAAATGAAATCCTTAAAGGAATCATTTTATCACTATTTAATGGGAAATTTATCCCTCTTTCTAATGGTGCTATCATATTTGCTATACCTTAAAGAGCAAAATGTTATGACGATTTTAACCTAAAAAACCATCGTTTTTGAGAAAAGAAACCTATTTATAAATATCTCCGAAACTATTGAGAATTTTTAAAAAACGTACAGAATATTTTTTGTTGCAAATAAGCTGAAGAATCATTTTGAGTTTGGCACATAGTTTGTGAATCAACCCGTATAATATACGTAGTGTATCACTACGGGTATAGAAAATTTCCAATATAATGCGACGCACTAAAATACGACTTTTTTGGTTTCACAGTCGGTTGAATCTTTTTGAAAAATACCGTTGCTAAATATTTCAGTCTTTCCTTAGATGATGTATCTCTCTGGAAGAACCAACTATCAAATTTATAGTGCAAATGAGAATTATATATCGGGAAAAGTTTGGCCTTCTATATATAGCTGGCCAATGAATGTAAATTATTTTCATTCCCAATTTTTTTTTTTCTATATCTAGCCATTCCTGTTAGTGGGCCCGCGGACAGTCCACAGCCCGACCCCGCCGAGACCGAACCCCACGAGCGCCGACCGGGAAGGACGCCAGGCCTCTTCTCTGCATAAGATCCTTCTACCCTTCTTTTACTTTGTCACAGATTGTTCCAGATGGATGCGGATAAAAACCATCTACCCGGCATCTAGGGCCCATGGAAAAGTCCGCATCCATCCCACAATCCGGGGCCAAACTCGCCCGAGAAGCCAAAAACGGTGTTGGCTATTTAAAATGAAGTAAGTGAATTACTTTACCTAAATTTTACCCAATTGGTTCAATCTGAAGCTAAAGGCCAAGAGAGGATGTGGATCATTCTTTGGTTATATGTCCACTATTAGTGAATTCAGAATGCGAAACCTTGGTATCCGTCCTTTAACAGAAACAAATGTAAAATAAATGCTAAACACTGTCGACAGTTTGATTCTTGTAAATTATGCCCACTCCACTTGGCGTTACAGATATTATTTAAATAATAAATTTAATTATAAATCTTGCCTTATGTTATATTTAGTTTAATTTTTTTTCAATATTTCAATGCAGTTAATTCAATTTATTTTTATTTTTTATTAAATGCAATATTTTAATGTAATTCTGTTTTGTATATAAGATTGCTTTATCGTTAATTTTCTTCTGTATGTCATGCTTTTATACACCTTCTTTTTACTTTGTAAATTCGTAATCATTCTTAAATAAATCATCTTATAACGACGTACTAATTTTTTTGATTTTCCGAAACCAGCATGTTTTAAAACTGGTCTTCATTGTGTCCCACTTGTCGATTATTACATTAAAATGAGACAATAATATACCGAAGTACGGGCTGTTTATCAAAATATATTCACATATAAATAAATAAACACTCAAAACAAGTGCATTTAAGTTTTAAGTTTTAAATGCATTTAAGTTTAAATATTGAAAGGAAAATATGAAAAAAGGAATAACAATGTTTTACTTTAAAATGTTATCTTTAAAAGACTCGGTTTACTCAATAAAAAAAGATTTTGCTTTACCGGTAAATTCAAGCACGTTACTTTGTTAATCAAACTTTAACTATAAGCTGAAAAGAAAGATGTTTGAAATGAGAATGCAGTCGGTAGTCATTACGAGACTACGCTAGCACCTCATTTATCGATCGGACCGATTGGCGTCGACTTCGGCTAGCTCTGGGTATAAACAATGTTTCAATGAAGACCAAAACATTTCCACAAATTTTACACTACAGGATGCTTGCATTATAAAAATAAACTTACACGTTAACGGTCTAAGAAGAGCAAATGTATTAATTAAAACTGAGTGCTTTATTTATTTCAACAAACTGGCACTTTTACTATCGGTGCTGTTATGTGAATTCGGAACTCACCTTCCACCTTTATTTCTTCAATGTAATGAACAAAACAGAAAAATTAAATTAAAAATCGTAACTTTCCCTAATTCGAACGCGAAAGACCAGTCTCAACCTTCTGGAAGAAAACCTTGGATTTTTTGCTTGATTAAGGTTTCCTTATAACTGAATAAACTTTTTCAAGCTGTTCGGCATAATGTTAACAGCTTTGCCATCTGGAACAAACTCAAAACACCGTCAAAACACCCCTCGTCCCCAATCTGGAGAACTGCCAATAGCCCAATTCTTATCTCAATAAAATTTTAATAAATATAATTTCTTCCCTGGATGTAATTGTTACGGAGTAATTAACAATTAGCGTTTGAGTCAGATTATAATTACGCACACTTATCTCTATGAAACTGTGCTTTCGTTGCACTATGTCCTGTTGTATGAGTCTGGTAAATTACTGCTTTCCAGCAAATCATAACCCCTTTCTACATCGCCCTTTAACTGTTTAGATAGATAAAATCTTTGTTCAAAAATATTTACAATAATTTACACAAATTTGCATAGTACGCCAGTTTATACTATAACCTGCTTTTGAATTTAATTTTTTTCTAAATACTACATCAAAAAACAAGTTATTGGGTTGTCCGGAAAATAACGCAGGTTGATGGCTATAAAATAAAAGCAATTAAATATATTTAAACCTTTTTTATTAATTAAAATACGCTCCATCACTCTCAAGATACTTCTCTAAAGTTGATGGCAACTTCGCTATATCCTCTGCACAGACTTTTGAGTCTTTAATATTAACAAGTTCCGTAAACGCATTTTCTAGGGACTTTCGATCATTAAATTTTGAATATTGTAAAACTTTGTTCGCGTCTCTGAAAAAATGGTAGTCGGTAGGGGAGAGGTCTGTAGAATGGGAAGGCGGGCCAGAACCTCATAACTAAGATCTGTTTTCGGGTTGTCACATCTGATCCATGGGGCTGAGCTTGTCGTGTAACAGAATCGGCCATTGGCCAAAGATGGCTTCAATAATGCAAATGTCTGGTACATTGCTTCAATTTAGGAGCAATACAATTCGGCATCGATTGTTTCTGTAATAAATCAGCTTAAATGAAGCCTACCAAAGAGTCACCATCACCTTTTTTTGATGAGTTGGGAGCTCTAGACCATGTACTACTGCTTCTCCTTTGTCGAGCCACTGTCCAGAACGTATGCTGTTATATAAGACAGGAATTGCACATTTGCCTTTATTCACTCTATCCCTTTCATGAGCGGCGAAAGTTAGTTTACTATTACTATGAAGTATTACCCCAAAGTAGTTACCAGCAGCAGACCAAGGTATTTCCCTATCCCAAGTCGACACGTCGATACAAAACCGGCCTGTGCATAGTATAGAGGATAACAGCCTCCGTTGTTGTTGGAATTTATTTTAATGTTCCATTTGTTATAGAACTGCAAATAAATGACATGGCCTTTGTAAGTCTGTTGACTATTGTATCGACTCTCCAGGACGAAGTGTAGTTGACAATTTCATCAGTGTACAAGGCCAGTCTGTAATTTTTAGGTTTTGTATTGAAAAGTTGAAAAAATAGAACAGGAGTTATTAAGGATCTCTGTGGGACACCGGCAGATGCGTCACATTGATACAGGGTTGAGTTGAGAGAGATTCGAAATTTGCTATCTTATAAAAATGAGTCAATGTTTTAATGAGGTATGTGGCTGTAGTCTATCAGCCTGCTTATCACTCCAGCATGACAAACTATAAAAAAAATCTTTTGGATGTCCATCAAAACCAAGCGAGTGTGCTTACGTTGGTTAAACGACACAGTTAAGTCATCAACAACTGTAGCTAATTGGGCGGTAGTAGAGAGATTCCTGGCCAGAACCCAAACTGCTCATATAAGATGATCTGGTGGACATCCAAATAACGATTGCCCTGAGCTAACAGTACTCATTCGAATACTTTACTTGACGTGCTAAGCAGACTAATCTGCCTGTAGTGGTCACTGAGTAATTTTGCAGGTTTCAGAATCAGAACAACTATAGCTGTTTTCCAGAGAGTCGGGAATTAACCTAGTGTTAGACATTTGTTGAACAGATTAGTAAGGAATACTACGGCTTTTCGTGATAATTTTTGGTAACAAAATGTTTTGGATATTGTCTAGGTCTGGTGATATCTTACTTTTTCTTGAATTGATTTTTTCTTTAATTTCTTTAGGAGTAGTGAGACAACAGTCGGAAGTGAGATAATCGCAGTTTCTGAGTAAGAGGCTTTTGCTATGTTGTTGCTAAAATACTAACTAGCATATTAATCCAAAAATCCTCATTTGCATTTTTTTTTTCTTTTTTTACGAGGGTTCGCAACAGCAGAGGTCATATAAACCCTCAGGGTGCCGGTGTTTTTGAAAATAAGCCCATTTGTAAGTATGTCGGGTTCGAATGCAGGGCCGCTGGATTCGAACCCGGGACCTTTACCTTACAGTGATGAGCGCCGTGTCAAAGACTAAACCTTGCGGCCACCGACGCCCCCTCTCAATTGCAATTATAATAATATAGAAAAAGACAGCTATATGCTTTCCATGCTTGTTGGGAATTCCTGGTCATCCTAATCAATTGACAAATGACGGAACCATTTCCAAATTCCACCAGAACAACTTCACAAATTTATACAGTTGACACATAGATTTTGGCCAATGAAGAATGTATAAATTATTTTCCTGGAAATGTACCTTACCTTTAAAACAAAAACAACTAAGCATAGCTGCAAGAGCACGCTGGTCTTCCTAACTGTTTGAATTTCCCCCCACTTGTTAGCTACAAAGTACGTCCTCCACGCACTAACATCGAATATAGTCTGCTTTTGTGCTCTCGGTTGTTCCCAGTCAATAAGAAATATGTCCACTGTCACATGATGCCAGATCAGAACAAAAATTTCAAATGCCTGTAAGAAAAAAACTAGTGTTAAAAATGTGTGCAAATATGATCCCTACAGGTTACTTAAATGAGTTAAATTTAAATTCCAAAAGTTGAGGATAAAGACACAGATCAGTGATAACACATATATGACGAAGTATAAGGGCAAATGATATCAAGGATAGCATATCTTTTGATCAAGAATCTTTTGGTAATAACTGTTGCTGCTGACTAGAACAAGCACCAATATGCACCACAGATGCAGTGCCCAAAATGTAGGGGAAATCAGACTTTTTACCTTTTCCACAAGTACTCTGGAACTCGGTACGGTCTGGATGAAAAAATAAATTCTATTGTTATCTGCCAAGCTTTCGACCCATTTTAAGGTGTCCTTGACTATGTTGGGACTAAGTCTATCTTGACAGAAATTTGAAGCCATTTATTAAAAACTTAATTATGTCATTTTGTAGACATGTTTTGCCCTGTTGACAACCTTGGAATAGGTCGAAAGCTTGACAGTTAACAATGGAATTTGTTTTTTCGTCCCAAGTATTCGTGAGTAAAAAAAATGTTTGATACTTCTAACACTTTAAACAAAACTGTTTACGTTATCCATGTACGTCCCAACCATGCCACAACAATACACTAAATATGGTTAGTCCATAGTTAATTTTGTAAAGGAGGCAAGTCATTCAAGACTGAAGAAAACATTTCTCTGTCATCTAACAGCAATAGCAAGAACAATAAATAGAGAAAATGAAGACAAATTAGTTGTTAACATTGAAGGTTTATTTTCTGGTGTGAAACGTGTTGTAAAAGCAAGGACAATAAATGTAATGCCTCGCGAATACTCGAATATAAGATTAGTAGTAGGGTATCTCAAAGTCCATTATTGCCAAGAGGACTGGGTTTATTTAAACTTTAAGGCGGAAAAGGTGGAAACGCGAGGCTCCAGAACATGGGTTATCTTATTAGTTAGTGAAATAAGACGCCCCAGGTGTGCGTATGGCCGTACATGGAAGATAACGGATTATGTGATGGAAATAACGCAATAAATAATCCACCGGAGATAAAGGGTTAAGCCACTGTCGCTCTAGAGTTACAGCCGTTCCAAAAAAGCTGTGGAACGCGTTCGATGAACATCATATCCAATCAGTGAAAAGTTTACCGGCACATTTTTCTATATGACAATTGGGTATTGTAATGTTTGCTATGAGGAACAATCATGTTGAACTATTGTTGAAGGAAATTAAATTAAAAATAACGCAAATGAAGGTGTCTCTTGAAAAAATGTAACTTTTCTACTACATGAAAGAAAATAAATATGATAATGTGATCTGAAATATGATAATGGTTGTGTGGACAATATGTTATACTCACTTTTAACGGGAAAGAGACGATCACGTACGTTCTCACCAGGTATTGCAGCCTTGCCGATGGAAGCAGAACGTGTGCTACTGCCTGCCATTTATAGTAAACAAAGGCGTGCAAAGCTGTTATTGATATGACAAAAAAAAACACATTCGCCAGATGACCACAGGCGATGATGCACACATGAAGGACGGCTATCAAGTCGATCGGCCTTTGCCCTGACCTTCTCGTGTAGGCCCAAGCCCGTATGAGAGACCAGATTACAGACGCTGAACATAATATGCCAAGACCGATCTGAAATAAAATATTTTTATTTCCACTAACTTAAATTGTGTATTTTGACGTGTGGGTCAAACAACAGCAGCTGTAGACCAAAGTTAGCCGACAAACATAAAATTAAATTTGGTGAAAAAAAGTGCTGAAATTCTCTCATTACTTGCATTATTTGTATCGATCATTGCCTATGCGGCTGTTTAAGACAGACAATACAAATATTTCTGCCACATCGATACCATTGTTGTCAAGTGTTAAAGATATTTTGCTTTTTTAAATAAAATATATATCTCTCATTATTCACGTTATCCTTTATAGGAGGAAAACAGGACTAATAAAAACTTTTTCCACAAGCTTGAATGTTTGTCCCCATAAAATACAAACAAGTGGTAATTCGAAGGAGCGAGGTTGGGGCTGTATACTGGATAAGGTAGGACGATGTCCGGTTCGTTAATTTTTAAGTTGGCCCGACGTGACATGTGTGGCTTTTCGTTCTCATGCAGCAGAAGAAGGTTTCTGCGGTTTACCTTACCAGGATTTTTTCCACCAGAATCGCACGTACTGTGATTGCGCATCGTTAGCTGAAAATATCTTGCGGCGATATTTTTCATGTAATTTTTTTATGTGTAAGCCTACTTTCGAATATTGCAATAAGTTATGTTTTGTTTTTTCAATTCCTTAAAAAATTAAACAATATAGCAAACTTATTGTGGCCTATAACAAACGTGAAGGAAATACACTGACAGGCAAAAAATTTCCGCCAAATTGATTTTTTTCCATTTTCTCGATAAAAGAAAATTCTCCACTTAATTTGTCTCATTGTTTTTATCAATAAATATTTGTTTATATATGTTTTAAATTGGACTATAAATTAATTAGACGTAAACCCAATCATCCAAAACAAGGATAAAGGATTTTTCAATGTTTACTTTTTACGGAATGTTCAGTCTCATTTGTACTCTGAAGCAATCTGTTCAGTTTTCATCTTTGTTTTCTTACATTCAATTTTTAAACCTAAAAATGCTACTTAGTGCTGAGGATGTTGCGCATGGTGTGGCACTTATTGATGATGGACGTTCCATCTGGTACGCGGCTATTGCCATCGGAGTTCCCTACGAAACTCTGCGAGACGCCGTTAGACGTTTTCGAGAAACTTGGTCCTACCATAGAAGGCCCGGTTCTGGATGCTCGAGGGTTAACAAACCACAGTTACTATTGTTCAAGCGATTCATCAGCACCAGGAAGTTCGAGGTGTACGAATTTCTTAAGTACTGCTCGAAGAAGATTAAATCAGTATGGACTGATGGCTTTTCGCCACGTAAAAGGACCAGAATTGACCAGAAATGCACTCCTCGCATCTGCTCGAGAACACAGCCACAATTGGTGGACAATTGGTCTGTAGTACTTTTTCCACATGAGTTTAGATTTGCTCTACTATCTCCAGATGGGCTTGAAAGAGTGTGGAGAAGGTGTATTGAAAGGTACGAAGCCTGTATGTAATTATTCCCAGAGCCAAACTTTTCAATGTAGCTCAGTGACGGTGTGGGCGGGAATTCCAATGGAGAGTCGCACAGAGTTTGTTGTTGTCTATAGAAAATGTCTGACGGCCAGTCGCTATGTGGATGAAATTTTGGAACATCATGCGTTGCCTACCCTCGATGAAATCAGCGACAATCCTATTCTTATGCACGATAATGCCCGCCCACATGTCGCTCGCATAGTACAAACGTACCTTCAACAGCATAACATCAGGGCCAACCCGTTCTCCAGACTTGAACCCCATCGAACATTTACGGGATAACTCAAAAGACGAATAAGAGCACTTCCATCACTTCCTGATACACTCCACGATCTTGAAAGGACTCTTCGTTAAGAATGGGCTAACCTCCAGCACAGAGACATTTCCACTCTGGTAGAAAGTATGCCGAGCGTCTTCGAGATGTAATTAAGGCAAGAGTAGAAAATACGCGATACTGAAAATATATGATAATTAAAAATATAAAACAAAATTAAAACAAATTTTATCTGTCCGTCTTATTTTTTCATTTTTCATTTTCCTTAGCAATTTACATTTTTTTCCTTTTTTAGACAAAGAGTCAATTATTAAACGTTAAAAAACGTGAAACTTTGATTAATATATAAAAATATGTATAAATCAATCTATATTACAAGTAGGTGGAATTTTTGACCTGTCAGGGTATAATATATTGTATAATAAAATGTAACTGCTCGCCATCAAACTATTCCGCAATCAACGAACGATGAAATTCTAAGAGGGTCAGGTTCAATCACGAATGAAGGCCAAAAACGTCGAACAGTTGAAAATAAAGTTTATTTTTTCTGTTAGTAATATACATTTACTTCAGCCGCTGCTTCAGATTTAGGTGCGGCTAGTAGTACTCAGTATTACATTTTTCTTCGGAAAAAAAGTTAATAAAGTCTAGAATAGAGACAGATCGAATCGTAGCGAGAAGCTCAGCGAGAATTCTCAGCGAGAAGCAAGAAGCATTTCGCGGCATGGGAGAAAGATTTTGCCTTGAAGGGCACTGGGTTCGAGGCTGTGGGCTCCGGGTTCGAGATTCGAAAAAAGAAGGCGGGTGATCATCAGGCCTGATAATACGGGAATTTAGTTATTAAGTGTATGTATCCGTTTGTATTAGTTTCATATAAAAAATATATAAATTTAGTTCTAAATAGAATGTTAGTTGTATTTTGTCCTCTTTTTTTCATCATAATATAAACCCTAAATAACATTAAATGTGTTAATGAATTAACTGCCAGAGGAGCAAGAAGCTTGCTAAAGGTAAAGAAGGTTACTTCCCACACATTGGGTGGAAGCACGATTCATCGAACAAGAAGAAAGAGTAGCAAGAAGTGCTACACGGGGACAACACGGGAGCCGTATACGTGTTTCCTTTTCTCTTTCTCTTTTTTTCCTGTTCTTCTTTTCTTTTTCTTTTCTTCTTGGGTTTCGGTGTTGACCCGTTTACAACAATACCGTGGCGCCCAATTTAACGTTATATTTGTAAATAGATTTGCGCCACTCTCTCACCGACCATCACGTCTCGCCATTCAACTCTCTCCTTCTCCTCTGAGCTACCGCCAACGTACGTTGCAGCAGCAAAAGGAAGGTTGTAACACCAGACATCAGGCCAATAAAAGCTGGCGTCCCATAAGGGAGCATTCTTGGTCCCATCCCATATACCATTTATTATGATGACTTGCCTATACATCCCATCACCATCGTTACAATCTTCGCGGATGATACCGCAATTTTATCTTCTAGCCCGGTCCAAGCGACCTTTTACATCCAAGAACACCTTGAGTTTATTAAAGACTGGTAGAAAAATTAGCGGCCAAGATTAAATAAAGAAAATTGTACCTAGTGACATTGAAAAAGCATCTTGCCTTCCACTTTATTTATTAATTTATTCATTTAACGGTTTCCCAACTGCACATGAGTTGAGATGGCAGGCACACATCGACGCCGTCGAGGTCCAGAGTAGGAAAACCCTCTCAATTTTGAGATTTGTTGGTCACTTTAGGGGGGAGGGAGCGGACAGGGAGATTCTGTTAAAAAATTTTGACTCGCTGCTTTGTTCGAGGATCTTTTATGGATGTTTGGCTTATTCCTAGGCCCGAAAAACGCCCCTGAGAAAGCTAGATAGGCTCTATTGTCAGGGTCTCAGAGCGATCTCGGGGGCGTTCAGGACCAGCCCCTTGGCCAGTCTGTGCTGCGAGCTGGGGGTCTTGCCTCCCGAACTTCGGAGAGAGCAACTTACCCTCGGTTACGCGGCCGGGTTCTTGGCCAAGCCGGAGGACCCCCTCTCTATGAAGATCCTCCACTGCCAGTACAGAGTGGTCTACGACAGGCTTCGCTCGCGGACGCGACCCCTCGGTATTCGCTTCGGTGAGTCCTTAGGGAGGGCCGGATTGGCGCTGGGGACGGTGCCTCGGTTGTCCACCGGCCGACACCCCCCTGGACCTTTCCGGCCGTACTCGTCCGCGACGATCTGGCGAACTTGCTCAAATCGTGTACTCCGCCAAACCTCTACAAGGCTAAGATCCTTGAACTTAGAAATAGATACGCCGGTTTTCGTCTGATTTTTTCAGGCGGGTTCAAGACCGGCGATGGTGTGGCTGTGCTGTGTAGAGCGAGGGAGTGGCGAGAAATACGCGGAGCTGGAGCCTATCGGAAAAACTGTGGTTGTTGTCTGGATTCCCGGACACGTCGGCCTGGAGGGTAACGAACGTGCGGACGAGGCGGCGAAAGCCCTCACGCCACACCCTCCGGATCGGACCATCGCAATCAGGCCCCCTGACGCTAAACACACAGTAAAAAATATGATAAAAGAAAGAGGCAGCGTCAATGGGCGGGGTCGTCGGAGAGGCTCTTGCGAGTCAAGAGCATGACCGGTAGATGGCCCTCAGAGAACCTGAGCAGGAGACGAGGATTGGCCATACGCGGTTGACACACGGGCATCTGCTTTTGGGCCAAAGCCCGCGCAGGTCCCCTTATGCAGAGAAAGGTTGGTCGATGTGTCCCACATAATAGGGGTGTCATGTCTTGGTTCTATACAGAGAGCGTGTAGGCATGCCGTCGGATTTAAGAAAAGTTCTCGAACACGGTAGCGAGTTTCAAAGTCCCCAGTTCCGCTTTTTAGGGGAATTGGTAATTTTTTATTGTATATGGCCTTCAAAATATGTGTTTCGTATTTCTGTATCTTGTATGAGTGAATGTATTTATTGGTGTGAATGGGGAGGGGCTGATGGCGAAGTAGCTTCTCCATCGCCCTCGCAGATTGTGTGTATGACTTGAGCCGATGGCGGAAATTTTATAAAAATACCCCATCGACCCCAATCTAGATTAGTTTATTATAGGGAATAGGTAGATGGATGAACATTGAGTAATCCATCTACCAAACAGTATGAGTGCGATCAATGTAAATAGGTATGAATGTATTTATTGGGATGTGTATTGAGTGTGTAGCGGTATTATGTTAGTGCTTCGGGGCTGAAATTACCAAGCTGTCGGATGCCCGAAAAAAAAAACCTTAAATAAGTTAAATATTATAATTAATACAAAACAAATAAATATATATACTCACGTCCATGTTTCTCTTTACATTACTTTTCATGGAAAACTGAACTTTAAAGGAAAAAGTCTTTTTCCGATTATTCTGTACATCTTCCTTGTTAAATTCTCCATACGATAGGATTAGAAGTGGAGTATTGATCAATCCTTCTTCTGGTCCCTTTTTTACCCTTATACTAGAAATGAACTAACATGTATTTTTTATGTAGACGGTATAAGGAAAATATATTGGATACCTGAGTGCTGCGGATTTTAGGTATCGAATGGTCGTCGGGGCAATGTTCGTTTTAGCTTCTATGTTAAAATCGTTAGGATTCTCAAACACAAACATACGGTGTGTAAGTTGCCATTGACTTTTATCTCCATACTAAAAAATAAGTTGATTTTTCAAGGATGACATAATTGTAAACATACAAACATTACTTGGCACTGAGATAATTGTAAATTATCTTTATTAATTATTATCTTATTATTATCAATTAGTTTACGAGTTGGTATAATTACAGATTATCACATCTCAAAATTTTTAGCAAGTGAAAAATAGAAGAAAAAATGGAATATTTTTGGATTTACAAATTCGATGTATTAAGAAAGATTCTAAATTTAAAATTGTTAAAATCAGTTTATTATGCTTTGGTTCAGTCTATAATTTTCTATGGTTCTATGTTACATGGAATTGAACCAGTAATTGTTATTTAAATACATTAATCATAACTCAAAATTCTCTTTTGAGAACTATTCTTTCCAAACTTTTTAGATTTAATACCAATTAACTGTGACATTTTTCAGGTTCTAAAATTTAAACAATTGTTTTTAAAATGTTATTGTACGTATGTCTTTGAAAATAACCTTTTTGCTGAATCAAACAATGAGTATTAAACAAGACAAAATATAGCGACTAATATTTTTATATTCAAAGTAAACACTAATTTTTACTTCAATTTTTCATTAAAAGCTGTTTTTAGGTTTCTTTATAATCATAAAATTAATTTTAACAAATTTAATTCTTATTATGATTTCAAAAAATGTATTACTGTAAAAATTTTAAATTTATAATTTGAACTTTCTTTGTGGTATATTTGGCATCATATGGCAATTATGGTATTCTTTAATTTCTATTTTATTTATTTGAATTTATTGCATTTTATTTTATTTTTGTTTTCTCTCTTCATTATTTTGTTTTTTCTTTCATTTATTTGGTCGTATACACCTTCTCAGTCCTTTTGATTTAATTTTTAGCAATTTTGTTCACTGACATAACTCCTGCCACCTGTTACAAGCACTGCTTTTAGGTGACAGGCGAAAATGTGCAGATTGGTTAAATGACTTACTTTTACTTATGGTTTTATTATTTTATCCTTAAATTTGTTCCTCTATTTATGTTTTTTGTTATTGTAGTACTGTACTTTTCGCAAATAAATTTATTATTATTATTATTATTTAGAAAAAAATGGAAAAATGAAGGTCATTTGAATGTAAACAAGAACAGGTCCATATAAAATTGACCTAGAATATCTCATTTTTCCACATAAGTACCTTCAAAACACACTTCTCATAAGTAACTTTTCTTTAAAAACGCATGACCCTCTTAAGCTTAAGGATTTGAACTCCTTTAATCATAATAGGCAATATATAAATACCTTATTTGGAAACTTGTTGCCTATTTTGTAGTTTAAATTTAATATCGGTATTGGATATATGTAAGTTTCGTTGCTCAAACGATATTTTAAATATATGTCGTAGAATTCAGTCGTGCGTTCTGACAAAAAGTCTTGAGGCGATACGGCACATTTGTTCTCATAATCGACAGTAAACCTTAAATCCGTCAAGAACTCCATCTCTTTGCAAACTGCTAGCACTTTCATCCCATTGACGAATCCTTGCCATGTACCATTCAAAGACCATTTACTAAAAACAATTTGTACGTAGCTGTCCTAAAAAAAAAAAATTATCAAATAGTCAAAATCCAACACATATAAAGCGTCAGATAATAAAAAATGATTTTTGGATTTAAAGGAAAATTAATTGGAAGAGCGGCAGAAATACTCCAAGATTCAGATTTTGCAGATTGTAATACATTAAAAAAATTTCTAATAACAAAATTTTCAACCACTCAAAATTCTCATAGTTTATTATTCGAAATATAAAGCTCTAAATCCACCAAAGATCCGTTAGAATATGTTAAAGAAATAATAGAAAAGTTCGGAACTTACAAATCCAAATTTTACACTGAAAATAACGCAACGCTAATACTATACGATTCTCAATCGCTAAGAAATCAGACCTTGAATTCTTTATGTTTAATTTTCACCCAAAGTTTGACCTATTACTTGGGACAGACAGTATTAAAATTCTCAAAGCAAAAATTGATCTTTCAAAAAATAAAATAAAAATACAAGGGAAAGAATTCTCAATAGCTCATCTTAAAACCTCGGATGATGCTGATTCTAGGGACGAACAATCCGATTGGACCCAGAACGGCTACACTCCACAATCGTAGAACACATACTACTACTCAAAAATAGAGATGAATTCAATGATCAGAATATGGAAAATAAAATTAATTATTTGTTCGCTAACAACACGGCACTTTCTGCCACAAAACACACACCACTTGAAATCCACAGTGGCCATGTAAATAGACTCCCTACTAGATATAAATATAGACGAGCAATTAACTAACGACTACATAGCAAACCACAGAGAAGGAACTAAATTATTATATGAGAGAATTAGAGAATTAAGCCAAATCAACAAAGAGAAATCTATTAACAAACGGAACGAAAACAGTGAAACCCTCCCTGAAATTCCAAAAGACGTTTACGTGCGAAACGCACAAAAACAGATCAAAACCAAAGACCGTTACAAACCGGAACAGATAGATACTGTTAACAAAGAATTAAAAACCGCAAAAATAAAGACCCAACACCACAACACAAAAGACAAAATTCATTTTGAAAACATAAAACGACCTAAGAAGACGGGTAACTAACAAACAAATCTGTTCCGGGACACAGCGCTTGGCAGTCACATCGAGAGCAATAATAACGGACATCACGACAGGCACAGGACTCATCCCTATAGACCTAGGCACTGCAAAAGTACAGACGTCCCATCACATTTTAATACATTTTTTTAAACTAAACCACTTTATAAATCAACTACACGTCCTTGACGAAAACTATCGCTCGACACTATTGTACCAACAAAGAAAATTAATACACGGGAATATTACTTTAATCAATGGGGCCACTCTAACTAGCTACTGTAAAATAATTAACCACACTAGAGAAATTATAAGGGATAAATTAGAATGTATCAACCCACGAGGGAATATTATTAAAGTTAGATTTAAGAGAGGAGTTATAAACGGCCTCGGAACAATAATTAAATTTATAACCTGTAACTTAGATAACAACGATAAAGAAAGATTCGAAAAAATTATTAAACATTCATAAGATTCACAACAACAAGATATGCAATCACAAATAAATGCTCAATACACACTAAACTCAGAAATCATAAAAGTATACAACAAAACACTGCAAACTATAAACCTGAATAATTACGAGATCGCTAAGAAGATATTAAAACTACACGAGAACATTGACCACTACATGGATTAAGCAGACAACATAATATCTTAAATTAACTACAAATTCTATATCACATTATATTAAACACATTAAAGGATATAGAAAATTCTATAGCATTTTGTAAATTAAAAACATTACACCCCAGCATAATTTCCCTATCCGAATTATTCTATGAACTAAATAAAATTTCGCCTTACTATGGAAATAGATTACCTTTCGAAGTTCACCCACAAAACATAATAAACTATGAGGAAATTATCAACGTCAATTGTATTATCAAACCTACAGAAATTGTATATTTATTAGAAATACCTATTGTACAAGATGTAAACTTCCGGCTATATGAAATGTACCCCGTAGCTGCCAAATACAGAGAAAACTTTGTAACTATACTTCCAAATGTTAAATATTTACTCAAACCTCAATCTGGTCTTGAGAAAACTCAAATAATTATACTAGAGAGTACTTGTACACAAAAAATTGCATACGTACACTTTTGCTCTCCTGATTTAATAACTTACACAAACGCTCAATGTGAATTGAACCTGCTAGAAAATGGCAGTACAGAACTTTGCAGCTACACAACACTGGACATCTCTGCCAACCACTTGGAGTGGATACCACAAATCAACCAGTATCTGGCAACTTTCCCCACAGGAGAACGTTTAAAAATCANGGAAATATATATATATATATATAAATATATATATTGTGGTGGCCACCTACAGTTACCACGGTACCCGCTAGTTGCCACTACCGGTTATGGAATGATCTCGCCCTCCACTCTGCAACTAATCAGTGTAGAGTCCTTTCGAATATAAGCAGGGGCTTTGCCAGTTCGGACTCCCTGACGATATCTCAACGCACGACTTGAGGCTCGAGACTCGTCTACTCGACGAGATCTCCCCAATCACTAATGGAGCACCGACAACGACAACAGCAAGGGTACTCGCAGCATTAGCCTGGATCTCGCCTTCTCAACACAGCCAACTTGGCTAAACTGGCCAACTGCTGCACCCGAGCCCTTTCAACCGCTGCAGAGTTAATCGACTCACGGCCCCGGACCTCAGCCAACTGTTCCCTCGGTCACGGACCACTACCAACGGCACACAGACGCACACACTTGGTCCCGGTTTAAATTCATCGTCTCAACACTACGAAAGCAACACCAGTCCTACTCAGGGCCAACAAAAACTACCAGTCACTAAATATCTATTCTAATTTTAAATTATATAAATATGTCGCCTGAGGAATGAAAATGGTGGATAATTTATCTAAGTAACAAGTGATGGATACTAAGAAGTGAAGGTTTTGTTACCAAGTACTGCAGCCTTTTGGCTTATTGTACTTTCCTAGTTCCTTAGTTCAGTTCAAGCTACTCGATCCTTCTCCAAAGGACAACTAGGTCATGAGAATGTCGTTGCTACAATTGCTTTTCCTGGGCTTTCTTTGTATCCAAGGTTATGCCTCGATTGAGCGGTTGCTTTGCAATCGAAGATGATATGGTTTCTTCTGTTTCTCCTTCAAATAGAATGATCTACAAATGGGATCATCATTGAATATGCCCATGTTGTGTAGATGTTTTCTCAGATGCCCGCGCCAAGTCCTATAGAACATCCGTTTGGACATATAACAGGAGAGAAATTTTTTTGGAATCCCACATCTTCGGGCCGTGATATTATGTTTTTCTTCTGGCTTCTCAGTACAAATTTTAAAAATTCCAGCAGCACCGAAATTTAAACCAAGGTCATGATAGACATATCCAACAATAAAAAAACAACAAGTGGAACGAATAACGATAATGTAGTTTCTAAAAAACGTTATGATCAGCAGTTAAGCAAATCACGCACTTATGAAAATTAAGTATTTTGCAGCAGAACCCATTCAAAAGGCACCGTGTCAATCACAACGTCCCACGGAGCAAAAACTACAATCTTCTGAGGAACAGACAGGTAGGAACTTATTAACAATAATTAATTTAATCCTTGAGAGCGGTCATTTCACGTTAAGAATTCGATGTTCACGGCTGAGTTTTTGAAAAAAATTTATGTACAGAGATCAATCACCATAACGAAGTAGCAATGCAATATTGCACCATAAATACGTTTCCTTACGTAAGGATTAATGCGAATAAGTCAATAAAACTTTCTCTGCCCTAACATTCGTTTTTTTAATGAGATAATACAATAATTTCTTTTTCGTACTTTTTCAATTAAAAAACCATGGACTACGCCAGGATTTGAACCGAGGACCGTTAGGGTGGCAAATACGTGTCGTACAAAAAAAAATACATTTTCATTTCAAAATCTATCATATATATTAAATTTTATGAAAAATGGCGAAAACCATTTTTTAAGATCTTTAAGAAATTGAAGAAAACCGTAATTATTGCAATGTTTGAATGTAGAATATATGCTAAAAATATTTTTAAAAACAATGTTTAATTTTTTTGTAAGGTGAGTAATGTGTGAGACCAGAGGTGACTGGCACTAGACAGGTGACACCCTGTGGAATTTTGAGAAATTAAATTTTTTTTAAGACTAAAACAAATACTTTTAAGAAATGAAAGCAGAAAATATTAATCGCAGTGATTATTTGTAGGTGCATAGAAAAAACATAACCAAGAAGTCCTATGTTGAACAAAGGCCAACGATTCATAGGAATTTTATGTCATATTCCTCCTAATTTCTCTATTATTTGTTTCTCATTTTTTACTAGCGTGTCTTTTCAAAATATTAACGCTGGTGACGGCGTCTGGATAAGTGGGATTAACGCGGAGGAGTTGGGTTAAATCCCTGGGGCTGTTTTCCCGTTCTGGGGGTGAAGTACGGCGCTTCGAGACCTTTAAACCCACAAAACCCCAAGTAATCAACATCAAATGTTTCATGTAAATTTCAAATGCAAACAAGAACACCTTTTTCCTACATTCGACGAAACGACTATGAAATTCCGCGACAAGATATTTCCAGATCAAGGAAGCAAATTATGTAGATTTCTACATTTTTTATGGTATTTTGTAGCTATAAATAAATAAAAATTAATAAATATATTTAAACAATAATTTTTATATATTTACAGTAAATATAAATTAATTTTGAAGCTAAACTAAAAAACATTTATAGTGTACATATGAAGTAGACATTCTCTCTTTTGGGATCTTTCCAAGCAATAGCATGAGTTGACAAAAACAAAAGAATGAATGCATCACAAATAGCTCATTAATTATTTTATAATTTATTATTTTTAATTGGCCATTTGACGAGTAGTAGTGGAAACAATAAAGAAAATAGAAAGTTTCAGTAAAATCTATAACACAACAATTGGAACAGAAGGTCGATATGCATCATCTTTTCATCGAGGCCTACAAACTAGGTCAAGTTGCCAATACGCGGAATAGGAATGGGAAATTTTTATTGATTCATTTCCAACAAATACACATGCACATTTACCCTGTGTTCTTTTTTTCCATGCGTGGCTGTGTAGGTGTGAGAGAAAGAGACAGAGACTACATCCATTTCGAAGAACATTGAGAAAAGAAAAATATCAAGTGCTTACCGCGACACTGAAAAAAAATTAAATTGTCCCCTTCACTCTTAGATGCTCTTAGAAGTCACGATAATATAGTTAGAAGCTGATAAAGCTAATAAATAACACCAAATTATAAAGTTAATACAATGAAACGGACGCACTATGAAAAACCTCTATATATTCAACGGAAAAAACCTTTCACATGATGATATTTATATTGCGTGATTGTGAAACCTCGAGAGCAAAAGCTAAACTGCGGGCTGGTTATTGGAACTATTACAATTCACAGGCTAAGGTACAGACCCAACAGCCTTCCTGTATAAAAGGAAGCTTCGAGGAACTTCAAGTAGATAAGTTTCTGGATATGCATATTCATTCCATGATCCTAAAATTATGACTTCCGATAGAGAAGAAGAAATAGATGCTAGTTAATGTCAATCATATTTATATGGCTCCAAGACCAAGTATGGGTATCTATAGAAAATAAACCAAGGACTAGAATTCATACATAAACCTTGGGCAATATGCCACCTGACAAGACTATTGGACAATGTGCCAGGTGTATCAAAAGGCTGGGCAATTAAAACAAAAGAATAGCCGTTTAATCCAATAATCAGGAGGCATTGAGCAACTACCTCATCGGCAGCAAAGTCAACATTTGCCGTTTGAGATTGCAACAAGGCCCTATCAGACATGGGGTAACTCAACAAAATCACTGTTTTTTTTGNAAATTTTTTTTTTTTTTTTTTTTTTTTGGGGGGGGGGGTTACCAGAGCATACAAAAAGAAAGGCAAGAGATAACTGATAAATTGGCAAAGGAAAGTTCAATCAGGATACTTATCAACCATGAACTATTTTGTGGCAATTCATATTGCCAAAAATGTAGATCCATTAAACAAAGAGTTAAAAATAATTCTCGGTTTACTATCGCAGAAACTAATCGTGATAGGACTAGAATGATAATAGAACTGCTGAAAGGAGACTGCGAACTCCAGAGGCATATGCTAAACTAGGATAAACATAAAAAACCCTGGGCAGATATGGCCAGAATAAGAAGAACTTACTGAATATTCTCTGTTGGTCTCAAGGCTTTTAGGCGAGTAGAGATTCCCACTCCTGGGTAAGGAAAATCCAAGGTTTATAGGATACAAATGGGAGCCTTTAAAAAGCTTTGGGGGTCTGGTAAAAAGCCTTAAGGTTAACAAAGAACCCCTAGGAGATTGTTCAATAGACCAATATTGGCCACAATGCACATCTCATAATGAGGCCGACTGCTAGTAACCGAAACCTAATAGAGCTATTACATAGTTCATTTGTGTAGAAAACACTTTTTTATTTCAATTTGTGAGAATTTTCTATAAGTATAATGTCAAATTTCAAATTTTTTTTGGTGTTTTTGATTGAAAAAAAGCCCATTTGTAAGTATGTCAGGTTCGAATGCATGGCCGCTGGATTCGAACCCGGGACTTTTACCTTACAGTTATGAGCGCCATGTCTTGCCTAAACCGTTGAGGCCACCGACGCCCCCTATTTAACACTATTGTAAGCAAAATGAAGAATTATGTATCAATTAGCTTAGAAATACAAATTAGTGGTTTGCTTAATATTAACTTAATGAACTTTATTCCCGTTAATTATTCAATGTGTTATCTTTTTTTATATTATAAGTAGTATCTCATCTTCACATAATTCAGTTCTTGTACATACATAAGGTCCGGGACAAAATGATCATAGAATTTTTTTTTTAATCATAGCTTATTTTACTAAAATTTGAACATATTATATCCTTTAGTCGTTAATATTTTCTTTTTTATTTTTATGAGGGTTCGCAACCGCAGAGGTCATATGGTGCGGTCTTTTTGAAAAAAAGCCCATTTATAAATATGTTGGGTAAGAATGCAGGGCCACTGGATTCGAACCCGGGACAGTTTACAGTGATGAACGCCGTGTCAATGCCTAAACCGTTGTGGCCACCAATGCCCCCTTTAGGTGTTAATAGAAAATGATTTCAAAGAATCAATAACAATAATACCCGATTATTTATTAAAACACAATAAAAATAATGCAAATTAAATTAATTCAAATCTTGTGTAGGCCCCATCTTTTTCTAATCCAGCAGTCATACAATTGTGAGGCGAGTCAAAACGGAATCAATTCTTGAGGGAATTTGGCCCACTCTTCCTGAATTTTTTTTTATTCATCAATGTCTTGAAACTGTAAACACTCCAGGCAGTGTCCTAAGACATCTTCAATTATATTAAAATCTGGGGACTGTGCAAACCAATCAAAAATATAAATATATTCTTTACTTAAAAATTCTCTTACAACTTTTGCGCATTATCTGGCTGGAAAACAATGTTTTCTTTGGGAGCCATTTCAAAGCACTTTTTAAATTGATTTTCTATCTCTGTGACATAACCTTGTCTGTTCATTCGGCCAGAAATAAACATATGTCTGTTTTGTGATCGTAGCTAATGTTACCCCATATCATAATGGTGCCACCCCCATTTGCCTCATAGAAAATACTTTTTCTTCTTTTTGTAGGTTATGACAATATTAATATTATATTACAATATAATATTATATTATATATACAATATATTATATATATACAATATTATTAATATAATAATTATTATAGCTTATGACAACAGAGAGTCCAACCATCAGGACCATCAAGATTGAATTTTTTTATCAGTGAACAGGACTTCCTTCCAATGCTTTTTCCATTGAACATGATCACGGGCAAACAGACCTTCCTTCTTTGTGTGTCATACTTAGGGGTTGTATCCCTTTCATTTTTCCTTTTGATGTGAGGAGCTGCACAAATGACCCTTTGAACATTTTTCACATTTGTACCAGCTTTTGCATATAAAATGTAATCTTAATGGTCAACATTTTTAAGAGTAAAAAATTTGAGAGGGCTATCTGTTTGTCCCAGACTATATTTCACTAATTCATATAACCTGGCCTGACTGTTAAAAATTGGAAAGTTTTATTGTTCCAATTTGATAGAAGTCAAGAGATAGAATATTTTACATTTGTAATTTAGGTGTTATGGGTTGGCTTATTCTTGCTGGGTAGACCTGACCCAATACTGAAGATAGTGAGAAAAGCATTTAACAGATAACCCAACAAGAATAGGCAGACCAAAATGATCATAATGACCAAATTAAAGCTTCATTACCCTATAGATCATATGAAAAAAAACTCACAATAAAAAGTAAAATAAACCAACTATTTAGAAATAAGTGGAATTTTAATAATGCATTTCTGTACTAACCTCTGAATCTTTTACCAGGCGGAATTTCTTTTTAATTTTATCCTCATTGAAAATGTTCTGCACATCTTTTTCGTTGTATGCTATCCAAGGAAGAGGTACATTATATTTTGATGTTTTTATATCCTTCAGTAATCTACAAGGACCTGTTAACTCTTGGTACATGGTTAACACACATAAATTGGAAAGAAGCTGGCAACTCTGAAACTGTTTCATCTGCAACACACAATACCAAATAAATGCTTGCAATGCTAAATTAACTATAATAACCAATGTGCCCATAACCATAGTTGAACTGCATTAAAGAGACCTAGTTTAAAGCGATAAAATGAACATATTTATTGTGAAGCAAATAAAACACACCTGACACCAATAATACGCAGAATGAAGTTTGTAGCGCATAAGTTTGGACTCACGTTTTGATTCTTCATACTCAATTTCAAACATTTCTGTTACTTTTGTCCAATCTGGTAATTTTTTGCTAGGGATGCACTCATTACTAGGCAAAATGATATGAGTTTCAATTGGACATAAACAATTTTCGAACGGATACGAACACTTAATACATTTACTTCTGTCCTGGTTTGGCACTGTTCCACTTACACATCTGATACAGTTGATGGCTTTCATTTTTGTTCCATTGGCATATCTATCAACTAAAAATGAAGTTTGAGATAAAATCTACAAGGAATCATGAATTATATCAATTATAGTACAGCCAATTTGTATACAACATATTTCACATGACCATATAAAAAGTTGATATATTTCCTTAAAATTTTTAACTTTGGATTTAAAAAAGCAATACAGCTCATTATACATTTAAAAAATACTAAAAATTGTTGTGCTAATAAAGCATTTGCTTATTGGGAAAAAATTATGTCGGGTTCAACAACATAACATACTTTAACAATATATGATTTTATTGTAATGTGTGTTATGACATGATTTTATTCAATTAATTTCAATATGTAAGTGATCTGAAGTATTAAAAAAATTTATTTGCAGGTAATTAAATTGTTTAATTGGTAATGATATGTAAAAAGTGTAATACCAAGAAAAACAGGCCCTACTGTATGACGGAATTACTTAGTCCAGACAATTTGCCGTTTGGTATAAACCTGGTCGTGTAGGTACAACATAATCCATGGTGCTAATTTTATTCTATATGCTTAGTTAATAAACCACAAAATAAATTTAATACACAATAATTTTATTTAACAAATTACTGATCAATTACAAAAGAAATTACAAAAATGCTTATGAAAGATGTTGGGGTTTCTATAAAAGAATAAAGAAAGAAGGCAATATTAAAAAACTTACCAATAATGTTATTGTCGCCACATATTGTATTCGGTGAAGAATTATTTGGAAGACCAATACAAAAGGACTTATCTAGAGAAGGGATTTCATTATCTTTACACCTCAAGCACAGTCTGTACCCATTTGGATCCCAACCGTTAAAAATGCTTCTATTATTGCACACACAAGAATCATCTACAAGAAAATTAAAAATTATTGTAAGGAATAATATTGTCATTGTTGAACAGCACTGAAGTATATAACAAAATAACCTAATCAGTTTAGTAGACAGAAAATACTAACTTAATACTGAACAAACAAAACAGTATGTTGAACTGGCACATGGTTACTTACTGGGTCTTTTACACACAGGTTGTTTATACCCATCATCAACTTAAACAAAACAGTAGACAAAACTGGCATGAGTTTATGATTTAACTAACTAATGATATCTCACAATTAAGTAAAAACATAATAAATTATTCACCATAATATTTAACAATTTTGTTTTGACCTTACACGTTAATTTTAATGAAGAATGAGTGAAAGAGAACATTCAAAGCAAAACAGTTATCAATTATAATCATAAACATTGGCCAGACGATGGTTTGTAAAACCTATAGGCCCAGAATGTAAAATTTGGATAACAAGATGAAACATATATATATATATATATATCACAAATCTATTAATCTGTTATAAACACATTATAGATGCATTTGATAAACATTGTTATATCAATTCTATTCACACAGACTTTGCAAAAGCATTTGGCACTGTGCATCATGACGTTTTGATTGCGAAATTGGAGGCATATGGTTTTTATGGTAGTCTTCTCTGTTGGTTTCACTCTTATCTGCAAAATAGATTTCAAATGGTCAAAGCCCACTTTTCTGAATCTATTAAATTTACAGTTACTTCAGATGTTCCTTAGGGCTCTCACTTAGGCCCTATTTAGTTACTTGTTTTCTAAATGACATGTACCCTGGGTTTAATAATATAAATTTTCTTCTCTTTGCTGATGATTTAAAAATCTTTAAACCTATTTCTTCTTTTCCTGGCCACCTCCAAAGTAATTTAAATTCTCTTCACTCTTGGTGTTTAAATAATCTAAATCTAAATACTCCAAAATGTTTCCATATTCGCTTCTCAAGGAGCAATAATTCTGCTACTACATTGACACAATGACAGGTCACTTAACATTATTAAGGCCTTGGCATCTTGTTGGATCAATAGCTAACGTTTAAAAATCATATTTTAAGTTTAATTACTAAAGCTCTAAAATTTCTCAGATTTATAATTCGTTTTTCTAAAGATTTTCAGAATATTCAGGTGTTACAAGTGTAATACATTTCTTTAGTCAGACCCATCATTGAATTCTCATCTGTAGTTTGGTCACATTACCAATACCTAAAACTTTCTCTAAAATGTGTTCAGCTCAGTTATGTATATTGTTATTCAGAAATTGTGAGATGCAGTCTGGTGTGATGTAGGTTTCAGAAAAACATTTTCTTTATTGTGCCAACGTTTCGATCTTTATTGAGATCATCTTCAGGGTCTGGGATTTACAAACATTGTTTACATTTAAGAAATACATTTAGGGTGTGGAAAAGTGAATTTATACAATGCAAAATACATTTTTTATATTCAATCAAAGTATTTCTACTCGCTCAAAGTGTTTGTCTTCTGTGTAATTGTACCATTCTTGCGTGTCGTGTTGAGAGTGCCAGTGAGATATTGTTGTTTTATGTTTATATACGTTGGATTTTGAAGGGGGGGGGAGTCGGTATAGGAAGACATTTTTGTAAAGGAGTCAGCTTTTTGAGGTGAAAAGAGCCGACGATGGGAAAAAACATTGGTAATGGTTCGGCCAGATTATCCTTTCAGGATTAAATAGACGGGGATAAATAGGAAAAGGAAAGCTAAATTGTTCGAAAAGTAGACTATGTAAAAATGTTTGATGTGTGGAATGTGATATATGTATGTTATCTATATTGAATTTGATTAATGATATTGGCGTAGCTGCGACTGAGTTTACACATATAATTGATGCTGTGCTTATCTCTGTTGATATAAACCATTTCTAAGAAATTACGTTTATATTTGTTTTGTTCTGTATGTAATATTTTTGGATTTTTGAAGTCAAAATTGTGTTAGTGTTCAAAGTGGTGGGTAGCGAGTGCTGTACGATTTTGCTTGGGTTTTTGCAATCATAGATATGTTGCTTTACTCTCTTGTCCAGATATTGGGATGTAGGATGTAAACAGTTGATTTTGTAGATTACGTCAGATTTGTTTGTTATTGGTGTGGGATCTTTAATTTTGGAAAAAAGAGTTTGGATTGTTTTATAATTTTTGAAAGCTATTTTGAAGTTAATAAAGAAAATGTTTTTCTGAAACCTACATCACACCAGACCGCATCTCACGAATTCTGAATAATTATCGATTAACGGCCACTAATCACCACACATATGTATATTGTGTTTTTTCAACAATTTTGCTTTAATAATTCAAAAATTCTAAATGTATTGAGTATAGACACACATGAAACCAAATGTAAAAAATGGTATAATATTTATCAATAAATTATTAAATAATGAGATAAACTGTCCAGAACTCCTCAAATTAGTAAATGTTAACATTCCATCCCATAACAGCAGAAACCCTCAAACTTTCAAAGTAGCCTACAGTAAGAACAACTATAATTTTCATTCTTGAATCAACAGAGTTCAGAGACAAGCCAACTCCATTAACATAGATTTTTTTCATTGATAAAAGACTAAAATTAAAATTAAAAGAAAAATTAAATTCTACTTCAAAATTGTATCTAGTTACAGTTATATATGTTTATGTCCACTTATATTTGTGTGTTCTTATACGTTTACTTATTACCTATAATTTAATTCTATTTTGTGTTTACCTTGTTTTTCTGTGGTATTAGGCTTCTAAGCCATATGTTTTAATAAATAAAAAATAAAAATATCAGAAGAGGTCCACAGAAAGCAAAACTAGAATTGAACGGGCCAAGTGCTAGACATAGTAAAATCATAGTTAAAGAACCAAAACTAGCAAACGTATAGCTACACTTATCACTGTAAAATACAAAGAAATGATAAGGGTCTATATTGGTCTCTGCCATATGGCAAAACACCTACAAAACAAGGATATTCAACAGTGACTCCCATCAAGTGTCACTCATTATTTAGGGGGCAAACGATCAGCGGAACCTTAACCTAGAGTACCAAGAAACCGGGGAAAATAATTACAGAAATGTCAGTCAATGACCTACTGCTTCTAAATAGAAATATTGAGCCAATTGAACTGAACTAAAGTGCTAGGAAAAGTAAAATAAGACAAAAAGCTGCAGTGCTTGGGAAATACCAAGATTGAACAATTATTACACTAAAAACATTTCTGAATGATCAAGGAACTATTCTGACTAGTTATGAAGGAAAGAAGCATAAAAATATTCTTATTTTAAGTAGCATTCATTCAATAGTTCTGCTACCAGGAGGTGAATAGAAAAAGAAGCCAGAAATATTTCTATACCATAATGAAAACAAAGTTGGAGTTAACATTTTAGATATAGGCACCAATACAGATTTCCAGTCTGGCTGGTGTAAACAACTGGATAATGTAAGAAAAAACAAATTAACAAACAGATCTTCTGCCAGATTATTGAGGAAAAGTTAAACAAGAATAAAGATTTATCAATCTCATTTACATCTCAATCAACATAAACAACATAAAACAACAAATGTCAAACATAAAATTGCTACATTGGATCGAAATGTCCAAGTAAATCAAAAGAACCCTGTGGAAATTGGAGAAAAGTAGTTTGAGGAAAAATCACAATAGGTTATGTGAACATTATGCCTCAAGTGATATAATTTATCACTTAACCTTATTATTCTTTACATGTAAATATATTATATTTATAAATAGAGTTGAACATTTATTTACATTTTAAAATATATTTTTACAAATAATGTAATGTTCATACTATATGGCCACTTTTGTTTCATAATTTTTAATTAAAATGAGAAGAATCTAATAGAAAGATTTTAATAAAAATTGATAATAATTTAAGATTTTTTTAGATCAACCGTTTTAATGTGAAAAATACATATAAATATTGAAATATTTAATAATAAATAGTATTACGAAGAAAATAAACTTTAATACAATTATAATACATATGTATGTAAAATGATTAATGATAGTCGTTCTAGGTAGGCAGTGTTAAATAAATTTCATAACTTCAACCCAGAAAAGAAAAAAAATATTCTCATTAGTATATTATAATATATATATATATTAAGTCAGGTAAATTTTAACAGAAAAAGACAGGTCGTATCAAGAAGCTACTATTGAAGTATTTGCTAGTTATTACTGATTACTGATTTATAAAGCTGAAATCTGTACACACATGTAGCACATTCATACATACAAGTAAACAGTGTTGGGCAAAAATTAGTCATGTCTAATGATTAATGATTGATCACTCAGACTGTTAGTCATGATTGGAAGTAAGTGACTAATTTAGTCATTAGTCGCCATATGTGATTGATGGCTAAATAAGGTCATGATTAGTAATTAAATACGAGGCATGACTAATTTAGTCACAATATAGTTAGTCATGACTAAATTTCGATAAATCATGTTCAAATGGGTGCTCAAAAAATGAAAAATACACAACTTCATCACTTTAAAAAAATTTTCTAACAGAAATTTATTTCATCAAAACGAAAATCCTTCATCACCTTATTTAACAAAAATCAATCTTCCAATTATAAGTAAAACTCCGTCGTTATAAAAAGCCAAAAAATAATGATAATAATAATAATAATAAAAAATCCTAGAACAAGCTACGCTTTGAAAAGTAAATATGTTTACATAACCGATTAATGGCAAAAATATTTCTTTGAATTAAAATTTATTCCACTTAAAAGCAGAGATTTGTACATTATTTGGAAAATACACCATCTAGCGGTCTTGATTGTAATAAAATAGACATGTAGAATAATTATGTAACTTTGGTTTTCGTTTACGATAACACTATTTGAAGGTTGGCCTTGAGCACGACTCTCATCTCAAAATTTTTATCCGGAGTCGGTTGGATTTTGGTAAGTAGGTCATTGTAGCCAGAGTTGGGCAAAATCAAACTAATTCAATCATGATTAAGAATTTTGATTGAAGTTTAATCATGATTGAATTAGTCATGAGTAAATTAATCATTATATGATTTAATCATAATTAATTTAATCATGAGGTATGACTAAATCATATAATGATTAATTTACTCATGACTAATGCAATCATGATTAAACTTCAATCAAAATTCTTAATCATGATTGAATTAGTTTGATTTTGCCCAACTCTGCATGTAAAGAGCCTATCACTGTTTGCAGTTCACCGGCAATTCCACTTTTTGTGTAATTTACAATACATTACTGGCAGGTCTCAAGAAACACCCACGTCGGGTGTTGGCAGTCCGAGGGCAGGCCTTGGTCTTATCTGTTCAGCTGCTGAAGTTGCACATCAGGGGCTACCAACTGCTAGGCCATTTTAGCCCCCAATGCAATCAGTTACTAAATCTATTCACACTTTCACTCAGCCTTAAATAAATTCTTACTTATTTACACACGATTCACTTAATTAGAGTGTAGTACTCGATATTCCTCCACCAACCTTTACACCCATTACATAACTAACCTAATTGATGGTTGATGGGTGCTCAATATTCCACTATCAGCTCTCTTACATCACGCCAATAAATACATTCACTCTCAACACATGATAGGTCACAAATCTATCAGTACCATACACTAAAACAACGCTGTTTCTTCCAAAAATCAGAACATGGGACCCTAGGGGGACTATTTGTTAGTATACTCTAGCATATGCGTTAGTTTATTCTCAAAACCACTATGGAAAAATAATATACATTAATAAATAACAGTTTTTTTAACATTTCAATATGTGTTGAGATGTTAAAAAAAAAATTTATTAATGTATATTATTTGTGTATGTGTTGAACAGAAAAATCTTGTGAAAACCGCTGAACTCAACAGCACCTCAAATTAATAATAAAATAATATTTATGAATAAAATAGTATTTATGAAGTGTAAGAAGTATTTCTTTAAGTGCTTCTGATTGAAAGGAATATAATTCACTAGAATTTTCATTTCAAAGTGAAGCTTTTAAACAATTTACTTACGAAGTGCGGAAACGGTTAAATTTTTGGATGGATCACAGGTAGAACATCTTAAATTCTTAATATTGAAGTATTCATTACTAGCGCAGGATTTGTCTGAGCCGTTAAAAAGGTCGGGAGGGTCCCTCTTGACAATCTCGGAAAAACAGCGATTAAAGTATAATAGGATTAAAATCAACATCGTTTAAATCCTGAGGCGAGACTGTGTGACATGTAGAACTCTGGGGGCCCAAGCAATCCGGAAAGGGCTTTGTTTATTGTGTACTTTTTCCGTCGTCAAGGCGACGGACCGTTGGCCACGTGCGGGTGAGGCATACTTTGAGAAACCAACACCTTGTTTTGTTGACGAAACGCTTAAAAGAGGATTGGATTGATTTTAATTTGTTTGAATATAAAAACCATCGGATTTAAACTAAGCAGTATAGTTCAAAGATCGTAAGTCAGCTCCATATTTAGAAGAGGATAGCTTCCGCTAAACTAAAAAAATATTTTCGGATTTCACCATCGAAAATTAAATACATTGGGTAGAATGTAAGAACGTAGACAGTCTGAACAAATTGTTTATACAAAACAATCAAGAAATGTCTAATCTTTTCAATTAGTTCTTTCGTTAAGATCAGTAATCGTGAGAAGACAATTCTTTGCATAGATAATTAGTTGTGCTACTTATTAATAATCAATTGTGTAAAGATTATTGTTTTAATTTTATTAAAAAATTAGATTGGGGATATGTAAAAGTCGAAGCTACCCATTTCCTAACTTATTTGGAGGGGGTCTCGAGCGTCCAGCCGAAGAAATGCAAAATAGTGAAGCTAGAGGGTAGCGACTGCTACGGGGAAGAAAGTACCTTGAATAACCAACCCAATGGGGATGTTTGCAAATAGCCAATGCTACAAAAAGGGTAATCATTGGTTGGCAAGAGTACGGAGATGTCAGTAGTACGTGGAGTTGAGCTGACACTAGTCAGTTGGTCACGAGTCAGTTACAGTTTAGAGTTTAGAGCTAGTCACTGGTCGCTGCCCAGTGATGAGTTACAAATTGGATTTTGAATACGACAGTTTTTGGTTGCAAAAATGGAGCCGAGTGAGCTAGACCTTCGTTAGACTTTTTTGTAGTGAGCTGGCTGTGGAGGGGGAGAGTGTTTTCGTCTTACATACCATCTTTGTCGATTTTACGCAGTTAATAAACCGTTGTTTTAAAATGTGACGTAATCACACTTTTTTTTTAATAACGGAAATGAGGTTTCGTCACCGGGGTTTTCGTGGCCCTAAGATGTGCCGTTGTTATTGGCTGAGTATTGGTTTAAGTCGGTGGACTGATGTCGATGTGCCGGATGTTGTAGACTTGGTAACGAGCATAGAGACTCGTGCAGCAGACTGTCGCAACGGCTGTTGAGATTGCAAAACATGATACTGCGAGAACTGAATGTTGCTGTAGCTAGTGCAAACGGCCTGTTCCATTAGCGTGAGTTGAGATCTTGAGTTTGAGCCCCTGTTTATATACAAAGGTACTGCAAGCGCATGGCTGCAGCCTGGAAGGTAAAACCATTTTTGCATCGTCAAAAAAACCACAATAGGTGGTCACCACATAGCTCCCCCCAATGGTTGAGCCTCTCCAAGCAGCATGCCAATGAATGAAGAGTAGCGTGACCGGAATACATCATTTTCCTATCACTCGTAAATACATTACGTTCACTCAATTAGGGTGGTGGAGTACTTCCCTTTACACCTATTATATAACTAACGTAATTGAGGGTCGGGCGGTACTCAATATTTCACCATCGGCCCTCTCACACTAAAAATTCACACGAATAAATACATTACTCTCAACACACGCTAGGGACACAAAACTATCAGTTCTGTATACAACCCTGTTACCTCCAAGAATCGGAACAGGGGACCCCAATACTCTCTGTTGTGCTCAAACACAAACCTCATTTCGGATGGTATTCCTGCGCGTTCTCTTTGGAACCAAGGAAATGCATTCTTCAATTAGGTGAGATACATCGAGCAACTTTTTTTCTACATTGTTTTGGCCCAAAAGTAAGTGTCCGTGTGTCGTCAATCTTGTATGGCCTATCCAGTAAGGATTACCATTCCAAGCGCGTGCCAAATCTTTGGGGTAGTGGGAGTTCTTGATACTTCTCCATCACACTCTATACATATTAGCGGGCGTCGGTGGCCGCAACGGTTTTGACCGAAGTGTTTAACGCGGCGGGTTTTTTTGCAGCTGACAGACGATGCGGTTTCTCTAGCGGTATCGTGTCGGTTTCATCAAAGGAGCCGACCAGTTCCGTTCGTGTCGTTTTCTTCTATTGTCAATTATTATAGAGCACTATATTATGTTATTGTTTATTAGTGCAAAGGACGAAGCACAAGTACTTCTGCTGTTCCTGCTGTACTCCAGATGGAAAAGAAGATCGAAAAACAGAAGAATATGGATTCACCCGATTGTGGGAAAAGGACAGAAAAAAAGACACTTTAACAATTTTCACTTGGAATTGAGGAATCATCAAGATCAATTTTTAAATTTCACTCGAATGACAACAAGCACTTTTGATGAATTACTTCGCATAATTTAATTAATTATTAGACCACATAACTGTTGTCTGAGAACTTGCTTAAGCCTTTTGGAGGCCCACATTTATCTCTAATTAAACCAAACTTTAATAAACGATTATCCACAGCCAGAAGTACATTGAAAGTACATTTGGGATCATGGCAAAGAAGTGGAGCATCTTTCATCGACCCATTGATGTTGATACAGATTTGGTAAAGAATTATCAAAGCGCGTGGTTACTACATAATTTTGTTAGAACAAGATTTGGAGTCCAATTGCACAACGAAGGTGAAGATGACTACCTATGGCAACCAATTTCCACCGATAGCACCAAACGAGGAAATCCTAGAGCGCTATTTGCTAGAGATAAATTTGCAAATTTTTTTACAACAATGCTTAATTTTTGCCAACTTTTGTATTACCTCCTAGTGTCTAATTAATAAGTAAATACACACTGTTTAACATGATAGATATTATATAATTATAAAAACAGTAATAAACTGTACTGCATATTATAAACATACCCAATGCATTCATCCCAATTCATTGTCATTCCTTCCTTTCCAAACTGGATGCAAATTTTCTGAGTACTTGATCGCTGTATTGTGCGGTCTTCAAGCCCCACAGAGCTGGATGCTTCTCTATTTCATTAATTAATTTTTCCAAGTCAATTTTTTGAATTTTGCGAAGAAAAACAATAACAAAAAACAACAAGAAAACTTAGATGACGTCTCGCGTAGTTAGAAATAGTTTAATATGAACTATACATTTATATTTAAAATAATAAATTTATAGAGGGGGCGTTGGTGGCCGCAACGGTTTAGGCGTTGACACGGCGCTCATCACTGAGATAAAGGTACCGGGTTCGATCCATCGACCTGCTTTCAACCCGGCGTACTTACAAATGTTTTTTTTTTTTCAAAAACGCCAAACCCCAAGGGTTGATATGACCTCTGCAGTTGTAAACCCTTAATTACAAAAAAAAACACTACACATTTACGCTAATAAATATATCCAGTCCCAATGTACACAAAGAAAACAAGATGAGATATCTATAAAGTAGGTACTATACACAATAAAACCAGAGTCCTGTTTTCTCTAAAAATCGGTGGCATTCTTACACCCTTTAATCTAAGGGAACACATCGAGCAACCTACCTCTACATGCCGGACACATACGCGATCTTTGGCCAAATGTGTCAACCTCGCATGTCCTATTCTTAGGTGAGGATGACCCCTTTTCTACGAGTCAGATCCTCAGAAGACCACCTATCGACTCTTGATACGTAAGAGTTTCTCTGTCGATCCGATGACTCTGTCCCTCATTCTATCTATCATGCGTGACTGTCAGATGAGTACAGTGATAATGCAAAATAAATGCAGGTTTTCCTTTTCGCTTACACACGCTTCCTTACACGCCAATTGTGTAAACAGACCTAATTCATTGTCTAAGAGCGATTTTCGGCAAATTTATTTCTATGAACTTAAAATTGGGCGAAATGCAGCGCAAACCTCTCGACATATTAATGACATTTGGGGGCAAAGAACCATAAATCCACTGTGCAGCGTTGATGTCAAAAATTTCGTAATGGAGATTACGACCTCAAGAGCAGAATAGGTGGTGGCCGTCCTTTTGCTGTTGACAACGACCGGTTAAGGGCTTTAGTTGAAGCTGTCGTTCGCCATCTTGATGCTATTGGGAAAACAAGGAAGCTCGCCAAGTGGGTTCTGCATGAGCTGAACGATCGCCAAAAGGATCTCAGGTATGAAAACTGTTCAATGATTTTGTCCGCAACAAAATTGATCCGTTTCTCAGTCGTATAGTAAGATGTGACGAAAAATGTATATTACACGTCAATAGATAGCGTTCTAGACAGTGGCTGGATAAGAGTGAAAAACCAGAGGACTTCCGAAAGCCAAGCTGACATAAAAAAATATGGTCACTGTCTGGTAGTCATCTGCAGGACTCATTCATTACAGCTCCCTCAATCTGGGTGAAACCATCACTGCTGAAAAGTACTGTAATGAAATTAATGAGATGGACCGAAAACTGCAACATTTATGTCTAGATTAATCAATCGCAAGGGGAATATTCTCCTTTAAGACAACGCACGCCCACACGTCGCACAACGGACTCTGGCTCTATTTCATGAGCTACGAGGCTTTACCACATCCACCATACTCACCGGATCTTTCTCCTACTGATTATCACTTTTTTTTTAAACATCTCAACAACGTTTTGTGCCAGAACGGTTCAGAAGCCAGAATGACATTGAAAATGCATTTCGGGAGTTTGTCGATTCCAGAGACCCTAGTTTCAACTCTTCTGGGATTAATGCATTGGTTGTTCGTGGGCAAAAATGTATAGAGAATAATGGAAGTTATTTCGATTAAATGTATTTTCTTGAAGTTAAATTGTAGCTTGTTTTTACTGAACATCAAAAACCTGCATAGTTTTTGCATCAACCCATTAGATCGCTTTATTTTTTTTCCAGATTGTTATGAACAGACTAAGCTGCACTTAAGCACTCCAAACTGCATTTAAGTTTGATTGTTTATTTCTGAAAATGATATTACTACGTTTGTGTTTCATGTATTTTTTATTTCTTGGAGGGTTGATTGTTTTGTGTTTATATATATACCTGTGGAGAATAAAAAATAAATTTAAGAAATATTTTATGTATTTAGTAATGAAGAAAAACAATTAAACGCAACCAAGCAGCGATATTGATCGGTTCATCTCTCAACATAGCAACAGCTCGGAGGAAGACGGCCTTCGTAGCAGGGCTACAACAGCCAGTCGATCCAACCCAGAAAACGTACCACTGTAGACACTGCAGAAAGTCAGCATTCGGATCAGTTTTCCCGGCGGGCGGTTTTGTGAAAATCGCTTTTCCGCTTTGGCCGAGCCGGGGGACGTGGCCTGGCGTACGATATTCGTCTTTCCCCCGTCCGCGGGAGACCTGCTTCCTCAGAAGACAGCTCCTCGTGTTTTGATACCTCCCGCAGAGTCGGACAAGAAGCAGTATCACGTACATTTTTCTCTATCCGTTCCTCCAGCCTTTTTTCGAGATTGGCTCCAGTCGAACTTCTCCACCTACGCGGATTTATTTCGGGTTCAGCCTTTTTTCTCGATAACAATTCCGTATTCGATTTTGGACCCGAATTGACTCGAAAATGTCGAACGAGGACCATAAAAGGGATGAGATGATCGTCAATTTTCAAGTGAGTCTGACTTCGTATCAATTTGACGTTTTTTTACTTTTCAAAGCGGAAAGTTTTTTCTTTTCACACGCTTTTTCCGACTTCCTTTGTTTCCGAAAAACGTTAGGAATTTTCCCTTCCTTCCTCTTTTTTCATGTCGAAAATAGGTTCCCCGAGGTTTTTGAGAAAAAGGCTTATCGACTGGACCGAATCAACACCCTACAAACAAAACCCATTCAGCTTAAATTATTAAATTGTTCTCTGACAACATCTATTTAACCACCCTTTATAGATTGTTTTATAATTGAATATATTTATGAGAAACCCTCTCCCCGCGCCCCTCGTCATTTTGAAACATTTCCTTTAAAGCTCAACTGAGGAAAATCGTAAGATTTTCGTCTATGACAGAATTTTGCAAGACGCGAAGCCTGGAAAATCGATGTTAGTGTATGCACTCGGTTTTTATTTTAATATAAACCAATTAAACGACGGCCGATTAAACGCCTCGGTTTTATCCTCTTTATCTCATTATTTCAACCCTTGGACGTTCTGTTTTCCTTTTTTCGTCCCGATTTCACTAATTATTTAAACCCACGGGTGATCCGTTATGGCCGGGACTTGTCACCAAGTTGTTGCTAACAGGGCAACAACCTGTGACTCAAGAATCGCGTTTTACAAAAAAAAAAAAAATCAATATAATTAAGGACCTTTCGTAGCTGTAGTATTAATTAAACAAACTAAACTTTTTACTCAGAAACAGTATACTTGCATCAGATTTATTGAATTTTATTTGCTATTAGGCCTATTCCTATCCTTCAAAAAAAAAAGCAGAAAAATAAGCAGTAACAACATACACCACAATTTAAGTTTTATATAATCGCACAAAACTTCAACATAGCTGGAACATTAAAATTTTGTCAAACTACGAACTTCAATGGAATGCCTTTTATTATTGTAAAACAATCTTTATTTTAATGCTGATAACTCTTGATTATTATTTCTTTTTTGATCTTAGAAAAACTTGTTAAAAAGGTTTATGGAGAGGATTATATTGGTTTGAATAGTTTCTCATCTGAAACATTGGACCAACTTTGTTTGCAGAAACCTTGAATCATTTTTTTTTAATAGTAAACTCATATTATTTCCAACTAGTTACAAATTATGACCTATGACATACCATAATAAGTGTAGTATTAGAAAATATTCCTTCTTGTTTTTGATTGTCATCTCAGAAAATAATTTTAGAGCAATAATAGTCATTATTTTTATCATGTTTCTAATGCAAAATTGCCAGTAAACCTGATAGAAGGTATTTTTATTGTTATAAATACATTTGCAAAAGTTAATTTTCTTTTGTTGTGCCAGTTTTGTTCATGGCAGTTTTTCACTTTTTCCTATGACACCTACTTCACGTTCTTTGCTACCATCTCCATCTATTTACTTCTGCCTTATAATAACAATGTAGGAAGTGCAGATTTGAAGTTATTACTTTCATTGTTAACTCAGAAATAAGGTACATAGCTATAACATTCATAGTTTTCATCATGTTTTTAATGCAAAATTGCCAGTAAACCTGATGGAAGGTATTTTTATTGTTATAAATACATTTGCAAAAGTTAATTTTCTTTTGTTGTGCCTGTTTTGTTCATGGCAGTTTTTCACTTTTTCCTATGACACCTACTTCACGTTCTTTGCTACTACCTCCATCTATTTACTTCTGCCTTATAACAACAATGTAGGAAGTGTAGTATTTGAAATTATTACTTTCATTGTTAACTCAGAAATAAGGTACATAGCTATAACATTCATAGTTTTCATCATGTTTTTAATGCAAAATTGCCAGTAAACGTGATGAAAGTATTTTTGCAAAAATTCTTAGCCCTTCCATCTTATGTCTTCATGTTCCATATATTATTAGAATTGTTTTATGTTAGCTCAAAGCAGGTGGGTGTCTTTTTATGAGTTAATTTTTTTCCTTGACTTACTTGACTATTCCTGTCACTCACAGTGGAGCACAAATCTCTTCCATCCCTCTCATTCACTTGCGCTTTCTCTTGGCCTTTCTTCACTACTTCCTGGCTGTCCTAAGTTCCTTTCTCAGTGATCACCTCCACGTTTGCCTCAGTCTCCAATCTTGCATTGCCCTTGTGGATTCCACACTTGGCACTTTTATCAACGGAGCTATCCCTTTTTCTCAGCGTATATCCTATATATATAACCATTTTGTTTTACATATTTCAGTATGTATGGAAAGCAGGCTCATCCTTTTCCAGAACTTCAAAGCAATTTTGCTTACATTGCTTATTTATTTAGGCCACCATATTCCAAGAATCGGCTGCAGGCAGTGGTTCACAAAAGCCTGGAGAGCAGTTGTCACGGTTTTGGTGACTTTCCAAATCTCAGTTCCATATAGTAGGACAGACTTGACATTCATGTTGAAGAGCCGAAGTTTAGTTTGCTCCTGGAAATGGTTTTGTTTCTCCATATCAGATATAATTGTATAAATACACAATTGGGTTTCCTGTATTTTACTCTCTTATCGCCTTAATCTAGTTAATTCTTCCCTATGGCATTCAGTATAGGAAGTGTAATATTAGAAATTATTATTTACTGTTTTTGAATGTCATCGCAGAAATAAGTTTTGTAGTAATGACAGTCATTGTATTTTTAATTTCAAAATTGACTAAAAACCTGCTAAATATTACTGCTATGAATTTACAAAATTTTCACCGCTTCAATATTTAAAACAAAGCTCTTTTGGTCTTTCGGTCTATTTACTATTGTAAAGTTTGACATTTGTTGATATCATTTTATTTCCTCAATCCAAAATTAACCCTCAAGGGGATCTGTTAGTACCAAAAATAAATTCTTATAAGTTGTTTATCATCTTGATCTAGTTCCAACTTATGCACAACATTGAGTATATTTTCTATTATTGTAGGAACATCACACTCTTGATATTTACACCCAAAAATGATTTCCATTTCCTGCTTTGTCAGCATTTTATCTTGTGTGGGGGTTGTTTTTATGGCACTAATATATATTTATTTATTTAGTTTTCCTTATAACCCCAATTTAATGCCAACTTAATTACAACTTGCCCGTTCATCTTTGAAGTATTTGGTCATGTGAATGTAGTCAATAGTTCTTTTTTGATTTTGTTTCTTTCCTTTCTGCGGTTTTTTTTTTTTTTTTTTTTTTTAAACAAACCATGGACAATTTTAAATTTTTACATTTAGTAAAAATATGACTCGGCACCCCGAGGGTTGGTCACTCTGCTGTTGCGAACCCTCGTTAAAAAAAAAGTCATGAAACTTTTTAATTTGATGTTTGAGTGAGTGGGTTTTATTTTACCCATATTTATTGTAAAACTAATTGCATAAATCTGTAAATAAACTGTCATAACTTCTTATTGCTTTGTTCCAGTATCAAATTAGTTATGACAATCAGTTTCCTATTTCTATAAAATGTCAGATCGGTATTATCGAGATAAATCTTTTTTGATTTGTTCTTTTGACTGTCTCTTATATGGATTAATTTTTTTTTAAAATTTTAGTAGGTATGTTTTATGATCACCTTAACATTTTTCCTTGAATAGCTTTGACATTTGGTTTCTAGCATAAATTGACTATAAAACCTTAAGAAGGCTATTCCAGCAATAAAGAAATTGACATCTTTTGTGAAATTTCTCCATATCGGGTACAGGGTGGTGAACCTGTAATTTGGTCGTTAAAAATCATTTTGGTCTACCTACCTTTGCTAGCTTGGTCTGACAAATGCATTTCAGCATTTTGTTATCTTCATTTTAATTCTGCCTATTAATTATAGTTGTTTAGAATTGAAACGCTTTCTTTCCAAGTGAAATATCGCTAACTACATTTTTATTTTTCCCAACTTCCGAAAATTGGCGTCGCAATTTGTATTTGGATTGCTGCCACATATAAAATCGATTATTATTATATTTTAAACCAGAAAATTAATTTTTTTTTTTTTTTTTTTTTTTAACTATGCATATTAGCCATGTGACAATTCATATATGTGTGTTCAAATTTTGGGGGGAGGGTTATTGTGAAAAAAGGGCCAGTGGCGACGGTGGGAATCGAACCCACGACCGCGGCGTGAGAGTCTCTCATGCTAACCACTCGGCTACCGCGGTCCCCCAACAGAAAATTAATGTTTCATTAAAATATATTGTAAAAGTGGATCGGGGATGTGGTCCAATGATTGGAATTCATTGAAATTGTACTCGATAATTATACACAATTTTTTCAAATTAAAAATTTGTGTCACAGGCGGGATTCGAACCCACGACCTTCAGCTCAATACACCAATGCTCTAACCACTTGAGCTACTGTGACTTCAATCGCCCATGTCATAAACTTCTCATTTCGACTCCTTGTTTATGAGAAGTTTGTAGCATGGGTGATTGAAGTCATGGTAGCGCAAGTGGTTAGAGTAGCGGTGTATTAAGCCGAAGGTCGTGGGTTTAAATCTTGACTGTGACACAAGTTTTTCATTTCGAAAAAATGAAAGGGTCCCATTTTGTATCTTTCTGGCTTTGGCTTTTCCTATTTTAAGTTTTCCATTGATGATGAACTATGTAATAGCTTTAACAGGCTCTTAGAAATCGTCAGTCACCTTGCGTACTGCCAATATTGGTCTATTGTGCAATCTCCAGCATTGTATAGAGTTCTTTGTTAAGCTTAAGGCTTCCCACCAGACCCCCAAAGCATTAATGAGTTCTCCTATGAGCATCTTTCTGACATTGGCTTTTCCTCTCCCAGGAATTAATCTCAGCTTGCATAGGCCTTCGTGCCAACGGAGCACATGTCCACACATTTCTTCATTCTTTTCCCATATTATGCACAGGTTTGTTTGTGCTGCTTCTAGTCCTCCGGAGTCTGCAGTATGAAGGCAGGAGTGCTACATTGATAATTATGCCCTATGCTTAGTAGTTATTAGTTCTGCTGTTAGTTTCAGCAATTTTTAATGAATTTTTTGTCATACCTCTGTTCTGGAATACATTCCGATTGAACCAAGAACTTATTCCTAACCCGTTGTCTAATGGATGTACATTTTTGGCAAGTGGATATGTTGCAAAAGGGTTTAAGGCCAATAGGTGTACTCATCAAACTTTACTTGGCCAATTTATTGCTCTCCTTTTATCTCCTCTGTTCTGTTTGCCCTGGTACCCAAACAAGGAGTATTTTGTTGTTTTCTCCAATGTCTATATGGTCTTAGTGCAATTCCAAATGGCTCTGGTTTTTACTACCGATGAGGTATTCGCCTTTAGTTTTCTTCGTACGTTTTATGCATTCAAAAACCTTCTTACAACAACAGTAGCTAAATTTAATGCTTTCATATTTTGGATAGTATCTAAAATAATGGAAAAGTTGTTATAATATTTTTTTCATATTTAATCATTACTATTTTGTAAATAAATGTCTTTGAACCTTAAAATTTTTCTTTCTAGTGTGTCCGTCAACTTGTATTTATATATTATTTGAGGAAATAATAAAAAATGCTAATTGTTTTTATATGTCTAGAGTTGCACTGGCATAGAAGACATTGCTGAAGCAGTACGATTACTAGAAGAAGCATCCTGGAATATAGAAGTAAGTACTCCTGTATTTATTGTCCTTTCTCTTGAAGAGATTTTTTAAAATAATAATATTTATGTTAAGAAAGCCTCCTAATAAGCCCATACACCCCACAGACATCCTCTCAGATTTTCCACCTTTCCAAAAGGTAATCTCTGTGCCACAATCACCCCTAAATCCTCCAAAATCTACCTAAAAAATCAATAATGTATATTGCAACTATTTACAATGGAATGCTTTGCACAACCTATTTCCCCATGCAATGGAAACTAATAACTTTAATAGCCCTAATATCAAAACCACACAAATCCCCCTGTGCACCATCCTCTTATAGATGAATAAGTCTCCTTTATTATTTTGCCAAAAATCTTTCAACATCTCCTTGTTAAAACACTAATTACCATATTCGAGTCCGAAACTTAATTCCTAACCATCAATTTGGATTCCAATCCCTCCATTTTTCTGTTCAGCAGTGCTTTAGAGTGTCGACACGATAGCCTTGGCTCTAGAAAACAAACAATATTGCTCAGTTTTATTTCTGGACGTTATGGAGGTATTCGACCAAGTGTGGCACCCTGGCCTCCTTTACAAGTTAAAACATCCCCTCCCTCACACATACTACCTCAAGTTCTTTCTCTTGGATCGATATTTAAAGTAAGAATTTATTTTTCACCCATCACAACAATCAAAGCTGACGTTTCACAAGGAAGTATGCTAGTTCCAATCCTTTATACCATCTACACTGCTGACATACCTAACCCACTTACCCTAACTCTTTCCTCAACGTCCCACCCATATAATACTCCACATCATCTAAAATGTCAATGGCCTCATGACCTCCTATCTTAATCCTCCTAACCTAAATAAAAGAGTTTTAGCACTGGCTGGTTTCCCTCCCTATTGCCTCCTGTTCTGACAGATTGTCAGACTTGTATATAATTATCTATACTATTTGCTCAATGTATATTCCTTTTGTACAGATAGCAATAAATAAATAATAAAAATAAAATTTTCCCTTAGGTTGCATTGAAGAGGTTTTTACCCGAAGAAGAAGGACATAATTTTCACTCGTCAATAACTAATTGCCAGAATTCTAAATTGAGAAATGGTATTCCACTCCCTATTATAGAAAGATTTGGCGAATTTCCATCTACATCTGATCCAGCACAAAGGCTACACCTGATAGAAGTCTTTATCCACTATAACGGAAATGAGATGGTTGACTTTAGAGTTCCAGATAGCACCAAACTAGGTAATAACTTTTGTCTTATAAAACTCAAAATGGGTATGTGGAATTGTGGGGAAGCAAAATTAAAAAATTAGTTTACCAAAATGTACAAGATTTTACTCCCAACAGCAGAATAAATCAGCAATTGATACAACATGAATATTCTCCTTTATTACATTCATTTTTGGGTAAAAGTAACATTACCAGGAGTGATTTGAAGTTATTTTATTTATTATAATGGTACAGTTGTCATTTATAGTCAGGACAAGCAAATGTGATAATTAACACCCTGAAAATCAACACGTGATAATGGAAACCTAGCAACAACGACACTCCCTCACATTGAGCCAAACAATCTCTCAGAGATATCTCGAGTTTGTTAGTGCGGTGTAAGTTAGATTTATGGATCAAGTAACTAATAACATCAGATAGTTTCCTGTCTTTTCATTTGAGTATGAGTATTCCATGCCAGACTTTTTTCAATGTACAGTCCCAGGTAGCACACAATATCTGAATTTTGAATGTGTCTTCTGTTGGCATAAAATGTAAGTAGATTTTCTGATGGTAAAGTTGATGTAGGTGGATTTAATTAACTTTTAACCTCCTTTTGTGAGACTTGAGAAGCTTTAAATGTTGCTGGACGTTATGACTAGCTAGGAAAGGATCATCAGTATAAGATAACAGGGTGGCTGTGTCATCAGCAAAATAGCATATAATATTGTTAGGAAGAACCGTTGTATTGGCTGTGTTTATTGTGAATAGGAAGAGCCCTAGGTTGTAGCCCTGGAGGACACCCCAATGGGAATATATGAAGAAAAGGCAATCCCCTGATAGATGCAGCAGTGCGGATCTTCAGATAAAGTTCAAGTATTAAAAGATATGTAAAAAGAAGCTTCCACAACAAACCAAATTGCCTTATGTCAAGTTAATTGTTTTAGAAAGAGCTTTCTAAGCATTTAAAACTTGTTTTGCTTCAGATAAAATAAATAGATACACCATCATAAAATTTTGTTTATTGTGTCAACTGTTATATCACCCATTTTGACCTCAATATTTTTTTTTTAATTTTTACTTTATTATGTTAAGAAAAAAATTAAAAATACAACAAATTTTGTGTCTATATATTTTCTGCTTCACAAAAATACAATCTTTGTTTATGATTTCAGCTGACCTGAAAGAAATAGTCTTCTCCGAAACAGGATTTAGCCCAAGTTTACAAATCCTTAGCGGTTGGGCTGCAGAACCTGACAATGACAGTATGACATTAGCAGATTTAGGTTCACCAGCCAAATTACACCTTTTTATGATTGCAAAACCAGAACCTTCAACTGCTTACAACATAGTCCATATTGAGGATGATGATGAGGAATTCATCGCGCAAGAATCTATGCCTACTGATACTCAAACTGCAGAAGCGTAAGTACTAAATACATCCTTTTTACCATTTGTTATTATTAGAAAAGTATTTTTCTATGATGTTTATATATATATATTTTTTAACAGAGATATTACCATATATGCAAGGCGCTTGAAAATTTTCGATGAAATAAGCAACAAAAGTTACCTCTTGATATTAGATCTTGATACGCCAGTTGGCACCGTAAAGGCGTACACAACATACATAACTGATATACCTCTTGCCAATCAGGTCTGGACAGGTTGGCCTGCCCGTCCAAATATTGATGATGATACTTGGATTGGTATACTTCCTCTTTCCCTGCCTTGGCACCATTTGAAAGTGAGAAGTAGCAATGAAACTCCCAATATAGCACCGTCAACAGTAAGTTTGAAAATTTCAGATCTCTAATTGTAAAGATTTTGATCTTTGACGGTTAACCTTTCTGGGATTTGTGGCGAGTTATCTTGTTTGAGCTTTGAGGCTCCCCATGCCTTGTGACTTTTTCTCCCATTTTGAGAATGATAATGGTGGCACAAATGTTTTGTGTAGAGAAACATTTTTAATAAGTTTTGAGAACTTGAAAGCATAACAGTTATATACCTGATAAATTAAATTGTAATAGTCAAGACAAGAATTACATCTGCAGTTATTTTTAATTACAGATTAGTTATATAACTACATATGTAGCACTCTGTACTACTATTTCTTTCTTAAACTCTCTATTGTTTTATTTATTCAACAACATAGACATTACAACTCGCATGTCAAAGTACTCATTGATCAAATATTTTTACAGATTCATATAATTTTGATTAAAAAAAAGAGATTCATCATGATGATTAGGTATTGTAGGTTTATTGCTTTGTACATGATAACCCCGATTCATTTGATTTCCGAACATAGTTGCTTTAGATAATATTTTGTCAATTTTTTTCGCATTTTTCCCAGATGTGTATTGATCTGACCGGCGATACCGACAGTTCACCTGAAGACTTTGAAGACGCTTCGGAAAGCTTCAACGCTGAAGATGAAATTTACATTGATGACACCATCACACCAAGGACTGAGCCTTTAAGTAATTGGTTTATATTTACTAAATTATTTGGTGTATCTTATAAAAAAATGAAGAAAGCTAATAGTAGTAAAGTGCAATAACTGTACTAGTTTTTTAATCTTTAAAGAAGAGGCGGTAATCATGCATTTGTATGAACCTGTTTTGATGATACTAGAGGGAGAGGGAGAGAGATGCTCAATACTTTTATTTATTAAGTGTTACAGCATAGGACATGTATGTCCTTTCTTCCTGCTACTGCCCCTAATTATTTAAATACATATTATCTCTTGGTAATTCAATTTAAATATCAAGAATACAAAAAATTATAATTCAGTGGAAACAGCAAATATAATATAATAATAAGTGGAATATATTAATGTAAGCAAATATAATGATGGTATATGTATGTAGTACTAACAGTAATGATAATTCAGTGAAGATTAAAAATTAAATTAATAACCATCCCTTCCCAAGTGGTTACCGGTTCAAGTCAAAAGTATAATAAATTAACCTGAAGTTACATAAATTGTAATAAATAAAATAAAAGGTAAATTAACTAAATGTGTTTGTCATTTTATTGGGTGACAACAGATAGCCATTACTTTTATTGCACTTTCATGCTTCACTAATCCAAATAAACCAGTAGAAAGGCAGTTGTACCATCTCAAGTGGTTGGAAATTGACCATGTGATACAATCATTGATGGAATTAAAATGTTAAAACCACAAGAAAAAGGATAGGCGGCCAAACTTAGCATTTCCATATTTTCTCTTCTTCACTGAAAAACATTGAATCATGAATATGTAATCTAACCTCTAACCTAACCTAATCTTCACACTCCCAACAAAGCAAAATCGATGAAATGAAAATGTTCATACAAAAACAAATTATGATCCAGCCCAAAAACATATCAATGTTAACCCAGTAATGTTTAATTTAAACAATATTATATTTATCTTTAATAAATTAATACAAAGTCAGATAAGTAAATATATTATCAATGTCTTTTAGTTCCTGATAATGTTGAAGATGAAACAGCCGGTTCAGTCCATTTTATTGACGGTTTTACTCTAAGGTATGGCCAAACGTCTCCCAACTTTTTACCAGGATCTTTGGAAGATGCTATTAAAGAATCCTGTATGAAACCGGCTAAAGAGGTTATTTATTATATTTTATTTATTATATTAAGAATGAACTCATTTTCATAGATTTATCATCTAAATTTAAACTTCACTATCAAATAGCAATAAATGGATCATCTGTGCTTATAACATTTAAAATGGTTAAATTATTATGAAAACACTTTGTTACAAATATGCATATTCTTTAATTTCTGTATTTTAGAGAAGAATGTTGGCTATATACTTGCATCATGATGGCAGTGTATTGTCAAACGTTTTTTGCACGGAACTTCTCTGTTCTGAAACTGTCCTACAAACTTTTGGTAATTGCTTCCTACTTTGGGGCTGGGATTTAACCAATGAAGCCAATAAAAATATGTAAGTATATAACATTCAGGTGTAGTTTTGGGAATGTCAGATCCATTCTTATTAATTTATTGCTTTCGTTCATGTGGTCCCCATTTTAGAAATTAACATAATGAAACAATTCTACTGTTAATTTATTTTCAAAATCTATATCTTTTAACCTCTTTTCAAAATCTATATCTTTTAACCTCACGTTTAAAAAGACAAAGCAATGGTTAATCAATAAATAATCAATTCAGTGGTTATACAAATGCTCATGAAAATCTTAGTTTACCATGTTTATTACAGCACCATTCCAGAACGATGGAATGGCCCTTCCTTATATATATCAACGTCGTTTCAGAATGATGCGCCTCGTCTAGAAAACCCTGCTTTTCTAAACTTTTTGGTTTTTCCTCTCTTGAATCGAGTCACTTTCACAGGCCCTGTAGTATCACTTTAGCAACATTACTCTAAAGATTATTTTTCAATTTGACCTTTTGCAATATATTTTACGATTTTCTGAAAAAAATTTTTTTTTTCTGTAATAGGTATGTTTTTTTTTATCACGTCATTGTGAAACACATTTCTCTTGCTGGTAAACCTTTTTCTTTCCAAAAAATACTTTCATTTGAAGGTATATTCAAGGACATCATGTCAAAGTGATCTTTGTTCATCATTTTGCTCCCTCACGGTTTCTCGTTTATTATATTTCTATTAATCATAAATAATTAGTAAATGGGTAAGTATTTTGTAAATAACTTAGTAAATAATTGTTAATAAATAGTAAATATGGAAATAATTACTGAATTTGTAAATAATTGTAATTTTTGTCACCACACATACAGATTTTATTTATCTTAATAATATGCTTTAAAAACATCTTTTATATGTAAATTTATATGAAACAATAGTTTTACAATTGTGTTTAACTATTTGTAGTTATCACAAATAAATTTGACAAGTAAGTAAAAAATTTCAATTAAATACAATGTAAATAACAGTTTTTATTCATTTATATACTACTTCTGCTTAATATGTTTTAAATTTATTAAGGGTTAGTAAGTAGAAATATACAATTAGTCAATTTTTCATAATATACAGGTGGGTTTATAAATAATGAGTGGGCAAACATTAGTATTGATGGTTTGTCTAACCTGGCCTTCCACATATAAGGACGTTGTCCCAGAACAGCTGCCCAAAAATCTAAAAAAGGCATTTTTTTAAGCAAAATTTTAATTAAATGTCATTTATGAACATGAATAGATTTCAAAACTAAAAACAAAAATGTCTGTATTTTGGGAGTCACTCAAATCAGTGCCATGACGATGTGTTTAACTTTTACTACAACTGAAAGTTATGGAAATGGACTTGGAATCTTGTAAAAATTGATGTGAAATTTTTCTAGTTATTCATAACTTAAATATACCACTGTTGTAAATATTTATAAACTTTAGGTTTTTGGCCTCTGCGATGAAAAATCTTGGTGCCACAGTAGCAGAAACTGTAAGAAATATGAATACCGAGCAGTTACCAGCACTATTAATAGTTACCAGGAGCCGATCCAATACTGAGCTTTTCAATGTTATTTATGGTATGTATTTCTTTTCAAGTTCAAGTGATAACTTTTTCTGAGAACTTTTATTTATTTATTGTGTGAAATGTAAATGCTGATGCTTGTTCCTCCTTGAATCTATGTTTATAATCTCAAAAAGTGAGAGCAGATAAAATCTAGTTGACAAATCTAGAAACTTTTTTTTATATTTATTGCCCTTATATTTTTTTTTAACAATAAAGTTAGCACATAAAACAAATAGTACATATTAGAAATGTTAGAAAATATATAATATTAAGATTGAAATTTTGAAATCGACTACATTAGTCTATATATTGCTTATTTTCTTTTTCTTTTTTCTTATTATTTATGTATTTTTTAAGGTAACATTGGTCTAAATGATTTTTATGCTACTTTGATTCATGCCGTTGATATGTACTCTGAGTTACAAGAGAACGAAATTAAAGAAGAAGAGGAAAGGGCAGTACGACAACAAATAAAGACTGAACAGGACCATGCCTTTCAACAGTCCTTACTTATGGATAGGTGAATAAAATTTATACGACAATTAATCTAATTATTTCTTGTTGTTGTGAAAATGTTGCATATTGCAAAACTAATTATTACTCTTTTAATTTTGCTGTTCATTCAATATTACATTTAAGAAGATATTTAGTCATTTTATTATTAAAGTCTACAATAAAATAACTACTATAAAAATAAATACTACTTAATTTAGTCATTTTATATGGATGATTAAAGTGAGGGTTAGGCTTAAAGTTTACAAACCATCCTGTTTCTTCCTCAGTATATTGCTTATAATATAAAATAAAATCTGTATTTTCAAATCCATTTATTAACTCAAGAAATGATCAAATTGTCACTATTGTTTTTATCATTTTGTTTACTTGTGTTATAAATAAATATCATTTGTCTTAAAATATTGTTGTCTTAAATTTATCCAAATTAAAAAAAAAAAAAATTAAGCCCAGTTATATTGTCATAACCAAAAATAATTTAATTTTTGTTTGATTAGAGCGAAAGATGAAGCCAAAAAACAGAAACTTATGCTTGAAAGCCAAGAAGAAATGCGTAAAAAGCAGGAAAAGGAGGCTGAGGAAAGGATGAGAATTGTAAGTATTTTCAAACAATTGGTTAATTATTTATTATGTATGAATGTGTGAGAGAGAAAGAAACTGGGCAACTCATGCTTTGTACTTGCATATTTTTTCTGCTTCACTGAAACGTAAATATTTACGTTTGTACGTTTGTGCATTGAGATGGGAAGTTAGTGTCCGAGTGGATCGAGGTCACGATAGCTCAAGTGGTAGAGCAGTGGCGTATCAAGCTGAAGATGGTGGGTTCTACTCCTGCTCATGCCATTGACTTTTTTATCTCAACTAAAAACCTTAATTAATTGTAATATATTAATTGGTCAAGTGGACCACAAAATTAGTGAATTTAGTAAATATTTACATTCAAAATCTTGGTTTTATTTGTTTATTACAGGCATCGTTCCAGACCCTTCCCTTATATATCAATGATTAGGTTTAATAGGGTAAGGGTTTAGATTAGGTTAGATAAAGTTAAGGACACAATGGTTTCAGCTAGGTCAGATAGAGTAAAGAATAGGTAAGGTTAGGTTCAGGGCCAGTTATGCTCAGCTAGCAACAATACATGATAATGACATGCCCAGAAATCAAGGATAAAGTTAGAAATTATATATTAATATGGATGTGATTTGGACTGGATACCAAAATTTGTTAAGGTAGGGTTAAGTTAGGTTAGGTACAGTGGGGGTTAAATTTGGTTAAGATAAGGCTACGGTGGGTAAAGTTACATACTCACCTTACATTACCTTCCCTAACACATTTGGGAATCTAGCCCAAAGCATATCCATGTTAATATTTTGTTTCTAAACTTTATTATTTCAGGGATTTCTTGGCCCGCCAATTTTCACATGTAGACACTTGTTGAATTTAACCTGCCCTTAAATCCAATCCAACACTTACCCTGTTACCTAATCTATCCTGCCCCTAACTTAACCCAACCTGTTTTTTTATTTTTTTTAAATTTTTTTTTTAAACCCAAAACAAATCCAAAAAATAAATAGGGTTATTTGTAATTTATTCTTACTCTATTAATTTTAATTAAAGTAATTGATATATTCTTGTTAGTTGGATAAAGCAAAATATAAAATACAAAAAAAATGTTAATCCTCATTTTTAAAAATGTATTTACTTAGGAATAGTTTAATTTGGTTTACATTAAAATATTATGTTGTAATTAATATAACGACATAATTACATTACTTAGTTTGAAATAAACTACAAAAAATATGAGTGTCCTGTTCTGATACTACCCAACGAAAATGGTGTAATTTTACGAGCAAAACTATGAAATAAATTAATTCAATTTTATGAGCAAAACCGTGTAATAAATTGTTCCAATTTTATGTATGTACCGCCAAAGCGAGTACAATAAATTGTTAGTTAAATTCATTATATCAAAAAATTAATGATGATGTGATTAATGTGTGGTGGTTAGTGACCGTTAATCGATAATTATTCAGAAATCGTGAGATGCGATCTGGTGTGATGTAGGTTTCAGAAAAACATTTTCTTTATCGTGCCAACGTTTCGATCTTTATTGAGATCATCTTCAGGGCCTGGGATTTACAAACATTGTTTACATTTAACAAATACACATAGGATGTGGAAAAAAGTGAATTTATACAATGCAAAATATATTTTTATAGTTATTCAGATTCTACACGACACGCAATAATGGCACAATTATACAGAAGACAAACACTTTGAGTGAGTAGAAATACTTTGATTGAATATACAAATATATGTGTAGAGATTAGTGACCGTTAATCGATATCTGAATAACTATAAAAATATAATTTGCATTGTATAAATTCACTTTTTTCCACATCCTACGTGTATTTGTTAAATGTAAACAAGTTTGTAAATCCCAGGCCCTGAAGATGATCTCAATAAAGATCGGAATGTTGACATGATAAAGAAAATGTTTTTCTGAAACCTACATCACACCAGACCGCATCTCATGATTTCTGAATAATTAGTTTTGATTAATTTTCTACCAAACCATTAAAATTAATTTTTTAAATAAAAACTAATTAATTTTTAATCACAGTTAATTTGGTTTATATTAAAATAAGTATGTTGTAATTAATACAACAACAATAAAACATGTAGTTTGAATAAAAGTATGAGTGAGTGTCCGGTTCTTTTGTCTTCGACTGAACTCGATGCGACCCGACGAAAATCTGGACAGTAGGGATCGTATAGTATCGGGTAGATGTGCACGGGGGTAATACAACCTTTTGGAAAATTGGAGTTTGCATTTGCGTCGGGTAGCATCGGGTAGCGTTGCATGGCCTAGCATCGGGTAAGTGTGTTCCTGGCTTTAGGGATGTCAAATAATCTTTGAATCTTACTCGATTGTATGTAATGAAAGTCATCACAAATGTATTCATTTTAATGTTTATAATATTAGCAGTACATTAATTAATTAACTGTCGGCATACTGTAAACCTGAAACCATCTATATTCTGTGTCATCATTGTTTATTCTCTTTTTATTATTGATTATCAAAAGTTAACATTTTTACTATGAATTATTTTGAAATAATGTTTTAATCCAAATTCACCCAATCACACAAGCACACAACGCATGCCTATACGTCTGATGCAGTACATGATATTATTATTTTATAGGAAGAAAAGAATGCTGTTTTAGCTATTTTACCACCTGAGCCTGAAGAAGATGCTACAGATGTTGTCAAAATCAAGTTTCGAAGGCCAACCGGAGATACTTTCGCTAGAAGATTTTTATCTCATGATAAACTTGAGGTAATTATTTAATCCGATTCCATGTTAAAAGGTTTTTAAAAGTTACAAAATATTTTATTGGCCGATTTTGAAATAATGACACAGTAACAGGTTTGCATAGTAAATTTAATTACACATTAGAAGTTACTTACAAGGTTAAGCCGGTTTGCGAAAATATGAAAGGTTCGTCCTGTGTGTAATATCTTTTGACCTAGTTTTCCCAAAAAAAGTTTCATTAAAATCAATGATCTCATGTCCATTGCCTCACACATGTTAGTATATTATCTAAATGTAATCGACTGTTTATGATATATAATTCTAATAATTGTTTCATATTGGTGTGAATTTCAGACTGTGTTTAATTTCCTCCTTGTAGAAGGATTCCGAATCAAGGAATACAAAGTCTTGACAAGTTGGCCAAGGAGAGATGTAAGTGTATAAAAATGTAATGTAATATATGAAATATTTGTTTTTGTGTTTATTTTGCCTAGAAAGTTTGAAAGACATGCTTAATTAATGTTGATAATATTTAGTTGACTGCATAAATTTGCACGGAATGAGTTAATTAGTGTTTATCAGTAGTATTTCACTTGTGTTGTCAGAAATCATTGAAATAATGATTAGTTGATTTACAAAGAATAATTAAAACAAAATATGATAATTTTCCTAAAACAACAGGCTATTAGTATAATACTAATATGTATTATGTACACATCCAAATAAAATTTGAACAATTGCCAATTAATTGTTTTCTTTTTTAAATAAATAATAATATTTGCAATAGTTGTATCATTAATGCAAGTACATATTTTATTGCCTGTTTAGAAGGTAATATCTGCTTCCAGGACGAGGGTGTGAGGGGTAAACGTGACCAAAGTCTCCTGCTGTACCTGGTGACCAGTTTTAACTCCACAATTCCTAGTTTTCTACTATCCTACATTATATGCCATATCCATAACCATCATATCTATCATGCATATTCCATAACCACCCTTTCCAAATACAAATTTCCCCTATTCTCTTGTTTTGGGCATTCCAGTAATGAGGGAATGGGAGGTGTGTCAGTCCACCTCAGTGGCATTCCCCACAGTTCATCTAGGGTTAGGAAAGATACCTTCTGATCCAGAACCACCAAATTACAAAAACATTAAACATTTTTGAAAAAAAATTGAAGTTTCAGAATTATGCGGTAACATTGTGGGCTGAGGCTTCTGTAATTTATTTAATTGATTTGTAATACCACTCCTAAAATACAGGATTTTTAAAGGCAGTGCTTTACAAGGAGACTTGTAGCAAGAGTGTCAAAAACCCTGTATGAGGAAAATTGAGTAGGTCCTCCAGGGAAGTAAATGTGGACGTGCTCTTCTGGTTGTTCTCTGGAACATTGCGATTGGGTACTCAATGCACTGTTCAAAAAAATATATGACAAAATCATTGTGGAAGAAAAACTGCAGGATTTCTGTTTTATAGAGAGGGCCAGTAATGTCCGTTTGATGATTGTCGGCTTATAACTAACTAGAAGTATTATCAACACTTCTGGAGCACTTGAGCCATAATTATTGCCATTAGTTGTTTTATATTTATCATTATTTATTATACTTAAAAAGTTGAAAAAAGCTCTAGTGCCAAAATGTGGTGTTTGTAAGTATTGAGACCTTTTAAACAATCCATAAAATGCTAATACAGTCGTAAGTTAATAGTGCCCAAATATAGCAAAAAAATAGACACGATGCAAACTTCTGGAATCCTGGTTTTCAAAACCTGTGTTTTTTATTCAGTATATGTACTGCCAAAGAGACTAATACTAACTCTAACCCTAATCCTAACCCTACCCCTAACTTATCCATTCTTAACTCTAACCTAACCTAATTCATGCACTCTCCCTGGTAATGTGAAATCTATGTTGCAAAAATTGTCATGCAAAACAATTGTCTATTAGCAAAAAAAAATTTTTCTAACCCTAGCGCTATCCTACTTAACATAATCGTAACCTAACCTTTCCGAACCTGCCCTAATTTTAACCTAAACATTCCTAGCCTAACACCCATGCATTTTATTTTTACAAATATTTCCTTTTCTACTTCGATTAATATTTTTGTAACCCCAACCTTACCTTTCCTAGCCTAGCCTATCTAACTTAATCATAATCCTATTCCTAACCGTAACCTAACCCTTCCTTACTACCATATTTTAACCCAACCATTCCTAACCGAATGCAACCCATGCACATTCCCCTCCAGTAATGCGAAATCTCTGGCGTGAAAATAGTTTTGCAAAAAAAACTAGCATGTTATTGGGCTGGTGCAAAAATAATGTAGCTTTTATAAAGACAGTCAAAACTATTATTAATTTTCATAAAATAAAATAAATCTGAAATACTTTCCATCACAATCTATACATCTTTGCCAACGTGTAATAAGCGCTTTTATTCTGCTGACATAAATCATTATTTCGAATCACAAGTCTTGGAAGGCATTTTCGGGCTCACTGCATTTCTAAAAATGTTATCCCTCTAGCAAAATGTCTAAAAAAGTGGAAGTCTGTAGGCAACAGGTACCCACTTTTCAAGCTTCTTTACTTTAACAATTTTTTCCAGATGGCAAACAACAGTTGAGTGGTTGTTTTATGTGACTTTTCTTCAATCAATGTTTTAAATCGGTCGTCATCCACAAAGGAGGGCTTACCACGACCTTCCCTGACTTTGAGATTGATATGTCCAAGACAAAACCACTGAAACCATGCACGCACTAATGCTTCTCTCCCCCTAAAATGTATTGATGTTATGCACAATTAGGGTTGCACTTCACCCAAGTTAAATTCATACAAATAAATTTGATGAAAATCTAATTTAGACATATTTAATTTCACAGGTCCTCACTCTTATAAAATTCTATGTAAACTAAAACCTTTTGTATAAAAGATAACAATTAAAAGTATTTCTTATAATCCATAAATTAGATTTGAGGATTTAGCTTTGTTTACATGAAGCACCTAAGAAAATAAAACAAATTTTCAAAACCTGCAAAGTTGTGCACCAACCCAATGCAAGTACATTTTTATTTTATTTTTACAAATATTTTCTTTTCTGCTTTGATTATTATTTTTCTAACATCGACCCTACCTTACCTAACCTAACACAAATCATAACCTAGTGTATCTAACTTAAGCATAATCCTCATCCTAACTGTAACCTAACCGTTACTAACCTACCCTAATTCTAACCTAAATATTCCTAACTTAACTTAACACAATCCCTCCACACTCCCCTCCAGTAATGCGAATATTTTTACAAACAGATATTCCTTTCAATATATTTCAGATATTATATACAAACAGATATTTCCTTTCCTTTCGAGTAACACAAAAATTCATATCTGTAACTGAAAATGGAATACATGGGTGTTTTGTCTAATTAAGCATTATTAAATCAGTGTGTTGAAATAGTGTGGTTTACTCAATTGACATAGCTTATTCACATCTGTTTAAAGCTATTATTCAGGCAATAAAAATGTGAATGACGGTTAAATGTTCCTAACATAAAAATGAATCAATGTACATGTCCTTGTTGAAAAAGTACTGCCCTTTCGTTTTAAATGAGTTTGAAAATATTATGCGTATTCTTTAAATGTTTTCAGATTTCCTCTTTCACTGGATCGACCACATTAAAAGATTTAAATCTTCATTCGCAAGAAACTCTAATCATAGAAGAACGATAAACTGGGAAAATAAGGAACTTTTACATTATAAATTCTCCTAAAATCAGTGCTCGAATCGGATGGGTTTATCCCATGATGACATACTCGCATTTATTTTTGGAGCATTTCTCTCTTTTAATTTTGTTTTGGGGCAGGTCCATTTCATTTGAGTTCAATAAATGCACCTAAATATGGATATGTTGTGGATCTATTATCAATCCATAAAACAAAATAAATTTTTACAATATTATTTATTATTTTGTTTAATTAGTACAATTTTTAAGTACTCTAAATTGTTTCTTTTACTTGTTATTATTTACATACAAAATATATGAAAAGTTTATTAAAGTACAGGAGGAATATATTGAATTACAGTTAAATTTTTGTTTTGTTTGTTTTCTTTCCAATTCGAGCACTGTAAATAGCAGGCTGTGTAAATCTTAACTTTTGTAAATGGATTTATGTTTATAATTTTTAGTTTTGTTTATACCATTTTTTTAGTATAGTTAAGATAAAATTAATGTTTCTGAAATGTACACCATGCGATTTAAGAGCATGTCTTTTATACCTTGAATTTTAAAATAAACTCTTGTGTCTAATAAATAAAATAATGTCCCATTCTTTCAAGATTTTAGTCTGAGATAAATTGTTCACTTAAAATTCAGTGATAACTCAAATATAAATGTTAAAAGCAGTTATTGTTAATCTATGTTTCCAATTCGTAGATTTGATGTAAATATTTAAATCTTACATAAATATAGTCATCTTTTTTTATTTATACATATATTTCTTTTTTTGTGTGGCTAATATCCTAAACACTTTAATGTATAATTAATTGTCTGTATGGTTGTGTTGCTAATTACATATAAAACACATTAAATTTTATTTCCTCTTTTTTTGTTCTGGTTATTTTCATTTTTTTTATGTATGTTGGATGTTATAGGAAATTACTGTTTTTTTTCCAGTAGGTGAAAACACTCAATGCTCTCTTATTTCAAATAAGCTCCATTATTAATAATAACGTAATAAAGATTTTATTATTTTATTATCTTTTCATTGTAAGCTGCTTAAATGTATAAATGTTGTGAAAACTATATGATTTTCTACATTTCAATGTTTCTTTATTTTACTGGAATGGCCAATGTATAGGCCAAATGATAATATTTGTGTATTAAAAAAAATATAAAAATATAATAAAAAAAAATAAAAAAAGGATCAAAGGTGTTAATAAGTGTACTCAATCTGTGTGAAATAGTGCCAGCAGCAGTTGATAGGAAAATTTAGTTCTTTCCCGGTAGTTGGTAGATTTAAAATTATTTCTGTGTTAATTAACCCCTTCCATTGTACTGATTCAATTAACTTTTATGACGCCCATTGAAAACATGTAAGCAGGGTTGGACATGTTTTATTTATGATTATTTATTTATTTATTGCATAGTTTTTGTAAAAAATAATTTTTATTGCCCTTAAAGGATTTTAATAAATATTGGCTAATAACATCCCATAGTGATTGTAGGATATAAACTGTACCTTCTCACACTTACTATTTAACAAAAAAAAATTTTTTTCTTAGATATTCAATTTTTTGTAGGGCAAAGCAACAAAAATATATTTTACTTAAAATACTTGCTACAAACAAAATTCCTCTTTAAGTTTACAAAAGGATAAAAAATAGGGCTTTTTTTACGTTTTTAAAGTTGGCATAATATTTTAGCCTCAGTGAAACGTGTGAAATAATGGAGTGATTTTTCCTCTTTTTATGGCTAATAAAAAATTATCTAGTTTCATTAATTTTCAATATAAATTTGTACTATTTTGTTTGCTCTTAATGGCTGCTCAAGAAATATACTGCATTATTTATTGTTTTTTGATTTGGCAAAAAGCCATTTTGACAACATATTTTATTACATACAACTCCCAGTGATATTAGTTTGTAGAACATTATGGTTCTTTTAAAAACTTGACAAAACTTTTCATGCTTTACTATGTTTTGTAGTTTGTAAATAAAATTTATTTTTATAAAATTGCTACAATTTACTAAATGTTAAATGACATCAATTTAGTAATTGTTTTTTTAATAAATTTTATTATTCAACAGTACCTTTTATTGGTTGTTAATTTTCAAATATATGTAGTCAATTGACATAAATGTACCAAATGGGAGAAATCTTATGTTTTCATAGCTTATTCAGTCAATTTGTATATGATGACTAAAGATAGAAAAGTTGTAAAATTATTACAATTGAAAAATTGTTTTAAAGTTATTACAATTTGTTAATTTTTTCATTGTTTGGTACAATGGAGAGATTGTTTCGCAAGAAAATAATTTAAAACTTATCCTAAGATGTTAAAAATGTTTTGATACGTTTGAGCAACTTACAATTTCATAACATTTAAGTTCGACCTGATTGATTTTTAACAATCTCAATCACTTTTTTTAGCCACGTTTTTAAATTTAAATGACAAAATAGTTTCAAACGGCATATTTGTGATTTGTCGCCATGAACAGGGTTTTTTTAATGTTTAAATTGTGAATTATACTCCAGATTTAAATCCTTTCAACATTGAAGAAATACCTGAATGCATATAATAAAACCTAATCTAAATTTTCCATAAATAAACTATTATTGACATAGATAATGACTGATTACTACTGATTATTTACCCATTTTCATATTATATTAGTTTTTATTTTTACCCTCGAATAATCTCATTAATAATTTTACATATTTGAATGAAAGGAAAGTTCAAGTATAGTAAACATGTTATATTAAAGCAAATATTTGTTGTAGAATGTATTTTTTAAGAAAAAAATCTTGTTACATAAATAAAAGAAAAATTTATAAAGAAAACTGTGTGACCATGCAGAAAGGATGGAGATGTGTAAGGTTTGAACATTCACAATTAAAAACAAACAACATTTATATAATTCTCAAAATATTTTAGCCCTCAATTCCAAGTAACTATATTTACTAGTTTTTATAAGCTAAACTGTATAGTGTGTATGAACTACTGTTTTAACATTCTTGTATGCTACAAATTAGCAGGTAAGTATCAAAAAAAATTAATTTATGGCAACAACATAATATTGTTTATTTATACAATTTTTTTCTGTTCCTGGATTTTTTAAAATTATTTGTTCACTACGATTAAAGGCCTATTATGCGCTAAAAAAATGAAACAATATTCTTTTAAATATGGCAACTACATTTGGAGAAAACTGTACTGAAAGGAGGACAAAATACAACTTTTCCAGGAGATGCGATTTTTTTGAAGAGTTCGAATTTTCCCGGTTGAGGCCGATTTATGCCTTAAAAACCTTATACGCCGATTTTTCTTGTAGTAGGAAATTAATTGGCGATGGTTTACTTGAGAATTTAGTTTTTGACCCAGAATATACATAAAAGAGAAGAGTAGAGACAGAATAATTAAAAGAAAAAAATGTTTTGGTTCAAAACATCCTTAAATACTTTCCTTCTTTTAACTACCATTCACTTAAGTGAATACGAAGAATAGAAGAATATTCTTCTACCACCCATACATATAATATCCAACTAATATAATTGAGGGTCGATGGTATATTCAATATTTCTACTTTCAAATCACATTTCTTCACGTGCTGCCATCATACGCGGGCTTTGGCTTAAAGATAAATGTCCGTGCATCAACCTCATACAGCATATTCTTAGTGGGATATTCTTGCGCAATTTATATTATCTGAGAGCCGCTTATTGACTCCTTGATACAAAGCTTCTCAGCTGATCTGGCCCAGCAATGGAGCACTTCCTTTTTATCATATTCGCTCTTGCCAGGGCAATTAAACAACAAATATCAAAGGAAGATTAGGGGCTATTAATGGCCAACTTCCACTTCTGACATGCTAAAACAAAATTTAATGCCTAAGCTACCGTTCCTCCTCTTGGTACAGAGAGGTAACTCAGACATAATCCCATCTTTTTTGGTGTTGTGGTTGTAAAAAAAATCGAATTTTCATGGAACGTGACGATCCGATTTACGAAGAAGCGAAAGCTAGTAATTTTGCAGAATTTGTGGTGTTTATTGATCTGCGAGTCGGTGAACATTTGTCAAACTGATCAGCACTGGATCATTCTAATTGATTTGTCTACTATCTCGCGGGTTCAGATGTCACTCAACGCGTTTCGCCTTACGCCATCATCAGTGAAGAATTCCTTGTTCCTGAGGTTCCTGAAGACCAGCAGCCACAGCCGGACAACCCGATCTGAAACATATCTGATATTGAAGGAACTTCAAAAATTTGGGAGCGCTTCATTTTGTTTTACATTTTAAGCTATTTTTTAAATATCCTTGGGCAAGGCTAATATTTTTACTCTATAATTTGCATGTCTCACAGTAAAAAATGAATTAAAATGATGGGCATTAATCGAAAATCAGCGAGTTCTTGGATAAGAATTTTCAACCGTATTCTTTTGCTTGCTTAGGCAATACTTCCATTCCAGTGCCTCGAATGCCGTAATTTTCATAGTTCAGTCTCCTTGGTGGAATTTTTTAAACCAGCTTCAGGGTTACAATTAATTGCCCAGGCATCTCCGTGTTGACACGGCGTCTTCACCCTCGACTTGGTATGTTAAACACTTTTTAAAAGTGGTTAAAATGAGTTCAATCTGGTAGATAAATTGTTTTTAACATTTCATTAAAAACTTTGGATTGAATTATTATTTTATTTGAATACACGTTAATATTGAAAAATTAATACGTCTTACGCGTGTTGAAAATTAAAAATCTAATCAATCCGGAAATAATTAATAATTTTTTAAAAAAGTTTTTAAACTAATGTACAGTTAAATATCTACGAGTCTTACCATTTGATCAAAAAACTTCAAACTTTATCACATGTTTTATTTAACTAAAATAATCTCTTTTCTCCATTTTTACCATATAATAAGGCAATTTAAAATCTTTTCATACATCCATCTTTTTAATACCATCACGCTTTTATCACTTTTAATGTCTAATTTAATGCCTATTTTTATTTAATGTTTAAAAAAAAAATTTACAACACAATTCCTTCGTTCTCCAGGGCATACAAAGTAGAACATTCGATTATCCCCACGTCCCATCAGTTTACGTCAATTCTTGGTATACTTAAAAACTCCCTTGTAACCAAATAATCGTTATTTTCAAATCTTCAAATATAATCCCCGACATCAATTTGGATTTAGGCGTGTTGCCGTGCCGACATCATCGCATCCTTCCCTAAGGAAAAGAAATGCTGTTCATAGATGTTGAACTTGATCGAAAGAGTCATTGAGTCACTTACTGAATCCTTCTACGGACGCAGGTTTTTTTTTATGACAATTAAACGCGAGGACTATAGACTAATGTGGGGTCCAGCTGTTGTCGCTAGGGGAGTGGTCAAGGGTTTGGTCTGTTATTTCAGTTGTCGATTATTTTATATTTTTCTTTTCAATTAATGAAACTAATTTGTTCACAATGCGGAGAACTAGTGGTTTCAAACTTTCTTTCTACGCAGAATGCCACGATGTATGTACACAATGTATATTTCCAATAGCACCATCGTTTACAACATAAATGCTCTCTTTATAAAAGATACTACAAGTTACACACAACAAGTACTACTAGTTACAAGATGCTGCTAAAAAAATTCCACAAAAACAACTAAACCTACTCTAATCCGAATATGTTACAACTTTCCTTCTTATTTCTTCTAAATTGGCCTTCTCGTCGTATAATATGATCATACGAAAATTAATAATTTTTTTTACATAGACAGTGGCTAGTC